ATTTTTAGAAAACAAACTGCTTTTTGAAGAAAAATTATTAAAAGATAGTTTTCTATTTATGATACATTATAGTCGAAAGGTTATTCATCATGATATAAGGATTAGTTTTTAATGACGTAGCATGAGGCTGTACATTCATGCAATGCTTACATTTTTTGGTAAATGAATTCCATTAATTCATTCACAATGTCATGCTCTTCCAGAGGTTTCTGTAAGATTATTGGGCAATACATCTGTCTAAAAGATATTATCACAGATGCTTGGTTTTACACTTCTCAAAACTGTGAATTTCTGTCTGCAGAGGTCATATGCATCTTCTTCTAAAAAAATGTTATAAAATAAACATACAGATTTGAAAAAAAGGCCCTAATTCCATTGTTCCTTTGCAAATCTATGTACACAGAATCAACCCCTTACCTCTTAAGTGCTAACTTGCAAACAATTCAGTGGCTAGAAGAAGATTGTTGGGAGTGAAATGGATCAGCACAGGAAGCTAAGTGTGTGTGTGTGTGTGTGTGTGTGTGTGTGTGTGTGTGTGTGTGTGTGTGTGTGGCAGGGGGAACCTTTTGAGCAGAATACTCCATAAATCTTTGGATCTTTTTCATAGAATCACAATTCTATGAGAATACTCCATTAGTCTTTGGACCTTTTTGTTCATAGCCTGAGGTTTATCATATTATTTCCCTGGAGGAGAAAAGTTATAATGGCAGTAGGCCATAAAAGAGATCCAGTTAGGGAATATTTTAATGAAGTTCCTCCACCTACAGTAAGGCATGCATTCATGCAAATTATGTAGAAAACCATGATCTAAATCTAGTCTTACTACTGATTTAAATCAAATCCACCTTGCTCCTGACTATTGAAAACCTTGCCTAAACCCCCTTTTGTTTCTAAGATTTTAATAATGTGGACCATATCTTTCAAATACTTCTCCTCCAAACATGAGAGAATCCCCCAGCAAATGGTTCTCAGGGTCTTGCTGCCCTTGAATAAGGAGGCTCCTTCAAACTAGCATGCTGGGCTTAGATAATTTTTAATTACCACCTCTGTTACAGTGAAATCCATGAATATTTTTGCTTGGGATATAAATAAAGTCCTGCAACCAAGTGGAAAAGATTTAAGGTGATTGCTACAGGATGGGTTAGTGAAAACCGCCTTCCTTCCTCTTGCATTATTAGTAAGGATATCTATTGGAACAATTGCCTCCCACAAGTGGAAAAACACAACTGAATTCAGTAAAGATGTTGCAGGATCCTGATCGGTTTCTTGGGTAGGAGTAATAGGTCTGAACATAAGCTTTGAAAACTTATAAATGTTGAGCAAACTGAATAGTAATGCCTGAAGAGCTTTATTTCTTCCCATCCCCAACACACAGGCACAAAATATGTGGAGATCCAATACATACCAGAATTTTAAAATTGAGATGCTGAGCTACATATTATGGATTAGATTTTGTAATATGGTTTTGAACTCTGCAATCATTTAACTTAGGTGGATTTGGCTTAATGCAGGGATGATATCTACTGTGAATTTTTAACTGCTACCACAGGGACTCCTGTCCTTTTCATTTACATCTAAATGTTTCCAATAAATAATTTCTACAACTGCAGTTCCACACTCAAAAAGAAAGGGTCAGAATGAGATGCTGGTGGAAAGAAACAAATCATTTCACAGTCTGATACTGGAGAGAGCTGTTCTTAGAATTAGAATTAGTCACTCTGCACTGTAACAAATGCTTATGGATCTTCATTCTATAATAAATGTCCAGGAGACAAGACAGGCACTATACCTGGAAATCACCCAGTGAAGCCAGAGAAGGTAGGGTTCTTCTCTTTTAAGATTTCCACTGAGAGCTTGGCTAAAGAGCAGGGCTTGCACCATCAGCAGCCCTGCTTGGCTATTTAGATCCTCAGCTGAATGCACCAGGCCACTGCAAAATAATTTCTATCTTACCTGTGGCTCTCTCAAGCCCTGCAGTAGGTTATCCCATCCTGCTTTTTTGAGCCACATCCAAGTAGCAAGTAGCAAACATCTCATTTGAATGGGTCTTCACAGAACAAAAGTCGGCCTGTTCCTCATCAAAAGTAAAATGTGAAAGAAGCCCAGGAGGGAGCCATCTGAACAGAATCCAGATGAGTGCATTCATTTTGAGCAATTTGAGTGGACTGAGGGAAGAAGAGCACCGTCCTGCTTCATTGGGTTCAGAATGCGTCAGGATGATATCAGCAGTTTGGAGAGGAAGAAGCTAGCTAACTCCAGAAATGTGCTTGCATTGCCCATGCTGGCTTCCCCTTTATTGCCATTGCCTTTTCCTCTCCACCTGATACATATTTTTCTTTTAGTTCACATTCTGAACTCTTTGGACCTTGTTCACATGTTTGTGAGGTACAATCATATGACTCTCCCAACACCTAACAATAACGAAGCTTTCATCTCTTTGTTCTGCCACCTCACATCTTCCCCACTATGTGCACAATGTCTGCTTCTGCCAGTTCTCCTTTTTCTGCTATTATTCTATAGTTGCAGTGCTATCACAACAGAAGTAATAGGGAGAAGGTAGCTCAGGGTGGTGCTCTAAGAAGCTATCCCAATAACATGTCTTCATCACTAGTTCCTTGAGAACTAGATCATCTTGTCTACAGAGCAACAATTTTCAACCTGGCATAGAATGATATTGTGCCATGATTATTGTTATTATTCCAAGGCCCTTTTTACATGGTATGTTATGGCATGGTGCATAAACAGTCCCTTTGAGTATGCAGGACCCGGCACCAAAGAGCCCAGGTTTCATTTGAGGTTGCTGCTCAGTACTATCAGTAGAAAGAATGCTTTTAAAATAGCAGCTCCATGCAGGTTTCCTGCACATGGTAGGATATTATAGCTGTACCTGACACGTTCTTTTATATAATAATAAGTAAGAGGCCCATACAATGCATATGTATAGAAAGCTGAATTTACCTACGTAACATACATAACAATACATGAGTTATAGGCTTCTTACATGCTAATTTCCTACTGAGAAAGAGGAGAAATACAATCTCAAAGAGCACATACATAGAGGTAAAATTTTCCCTACTACAGCAGTAATTCCTAACAGAAAAAACTCAAGGAAACCACCCACTCAGCAACTATATGGAAACTCAAAGAAGAACCCAAATCATTAGTAATTGATATGGGAAGGCAATTACAGCACTTGCATTGGCAAATCTTTTACAGAACATGGAATCTGGAAGCTCAACTTCCTGGTGGCCTGGTACCAGCTTTGTTTGGAACCCCAACCAAAAGAACTCCACTGGCCCCAAGCAACTTCCACTGATTCCTATGTCCCCATTCTGGGATAAAAAGGAGAAAAGGGTCTGGTGTTGCTGCCACCTTCCTCCTCCACCTCTTGATACGTATGTAATTGTAATCACATAGAGGCTAAAAACCATTCAGATTACTGTGCAACTATTTTTCTTTCAAGAGGGCTGGAGAATGTGTGTTTATGAGGGGGTGGGGGTTCCTGAAATTGTTGAGTATTAGCAAACCAGCCACATTCTTCCCCAAGTCAATTCTGGGCAGAACCCCTTGCCAGTGTTTCAACCATAGTAGACAGGGGTGCAGCTTCCTGACTTTGTGTACTCAGACAATATGCTTCAATAGCCTTGACTGCTGTGGCTGTCTTCTCTGCCCTTCCCTTGCTGAACCTCTACCCAACACTTTACTTCTTCCCTCAAATGGACCATGCAAAGCTTCTCTTCAGACCCTTCTCTTCCTCATCCCTTTCTGCATCCAAAAGAAACTCATTGTCTAGATGTCAAAACCCCTTCCTTGTTATCTAGTGTGCTGTGCCTTTATATCCAACATGTCTTCCTTCATCTCTAGCAATGTCGCCAGGCTAAGGCCTCCTGTTCTCTTAAATGACATGATTTATTCTCCCTTATTGCTCCTTATGCCTGGAACGCCCCCTTGGGACAGTCACAGGATTCAATCAGCCCTTGCAGTTCTGATACTGCAGTTATGCTTGGACTCAGTTTACAGGCAGTGCCAGATAGTGAATGAGCCCTGTGAGGTGCTCAGTTGTAATGAATTACTTCCACTTTTGCGGAAACTATAGTTTGCTGCTATCGCTGAACAGATAACCTGCAGTATGCAAGAGAGCCCCTAAACCAGGACTGCAAAACAGAGTCAAACCATGGCTTGCAAAATATAGTTAATTGGTTTGGGTGTAATGGGAAGCTTTGGTTCAGTAAAATGGAAATAAAACATTAAGCTAAATTTTGCAAAGGAATGGAATGCAAATGATTATTCCCAGATTTGTGAACTGTGGCCATAAAGGTAGCGGTTTTCATACCAAATGGGCTCATCTGAATGATAGCAGACTTCTTTTGATTGCTGTATTTTGGCTTCAGCAAACTGTGGGGAATGTTCAGTACATAGCTATGAAATGAGCATGTTCTATATTACTTTTGGTCATTCTTCTATACCAGAAATTCCCAAAGTATGTGCAGGGAGAAATACATTCAGTTCAATAGCTAAAGGCTCCTGTGAAGCCAAGGCATTTGCCCTCAGACAGTGACTTCCACTGATGTAATTCTAGTACATCAATGCATGCAGCGTGAATGAGTTGCACTGCAAAATCACATACCCACAAAGGGAGCCAGCAAATGCTTTCTTGCTTCCAGCCAGGAGATAAACTCACAGGAAGGGCAGTAATTCTTACATGTCTGCACCAGGAATAAATCTTTTCAGATATAAAGTTTGACAGTTATAATTCAGAGGGAAATGGTTATCTCTGCTATCAGAAGGTCACATTTCAACTTGTTCCTGCTAAACCTGTTCCGCTGCCAATTTGGGCTCTGATGCCCTTTAAAGGACAAGCTGGGCTGGTCCTACTTATGAACAGCTCTACCTGCTGTGCAGTTAAATGTCATGCTAATTGATATGGTCTTGCTCATACCTACCTTTCCCCAACACTCATTCAAACCAATTAATGGATCATTGGGGGAGATGTGCCTTACTTGTGAGAGAGGATTGTGGGAGGCAGTTGCTTGTGATCTCCAGTCAGGATACATTTGGGGGCCTTCAACAGTGGTATCCAGCAGCTTGCCTCAAGTGCTTGGGAGCATTCATCAATCACCACCAGATCAAAGTGGTTCTCAGGAAGCAGCTTCAACGGGCCATCGGGAGAGGCTCCTAATTAAAAGAGCATTGAAGAGACTGAGCCTTTATACCACAGTGAAAGTAAAAATAACTTGTTGCTTTAAGGGCTTGGTCTTTCTTTCATTCATTTATTTATTTAAAACATTTCTATGCCGCCCACATCGCAACAAAGCCTCGGGGCGGCTCACAAAAAATACAAAAAAACATACATATATGTTTCATATATGAAAGACATTTCATGTCTTTTCGGTGTGTCACTACTCTTTAGTATGGAGGTTTCAGCTGTGTGATGTGACAAGCAATATACGTGGCATTCAACATGGCCAATTTCCCTTTCTGCTACAACACACCTTCTAAAGGGCACCCATGTGTGCACCTGGCCATTCCAGTAGGAAAATTCACCCATTTCTGCAGATGGGGCAGAGGCTAGATCCTGCCAGGTTTGTGTGTGAAGCAGGGGCAGTTGTGAAAGAAATAAATTGTGTGGTGTCTCTCCACTTAAGTGTTGCTGCTGAGCTTAAGTTCATGTAATATGCGCAGTGTTACGACCTCTGACTTCAGGGAACCCTGAGTCTGTGTCTTTCTGAGTAACTTGGCAGAAGGTAAGAGCAGCCCTGTTGGACCAGGCTGAAGACCCATCCAGTCCAGCATTTGGCTCCCACAGTCTTCAACAAGCTGCCTCCGGAAAAACTGCAAGGGGAGCAGGAGCACAATGGCCATCATCCAGATGTGTGCCTCAACAACTGGGCTCCATGTGCATACTGTTGCTGATACTAGAGCTAAATATATTCACTGTGGCTACTAGACAATGGCAGCCTTATTTGCCTTAAATTCATGCAATCCCCATTGGGTACTGACACAGCTCTGTAGCCTGCATACCTTTTGAATGCAGGAAGCCTCAGCAGTATCTTGTTAGGATCACTGAGTGTGAGCCTGGTGAGTGCAATTCGTCCTTGCCACTATAACACATCTCCTTCCCATTTAATTAATAGAATAGGGTTTTTTAGCTACTAGTCCTGCTAATTTCAGGCAATCAGAGAGCTATCACATGGTGAGTTTCATGTAAGATTACTACCATCCTGCTAATTCCCTACAATGCACCCTACAGTGGTCAGCTTCGTGAGGATCAGGTGAGGAGACAGATGGTTCCACTTTGGATTTCAAAAAGCAAAATCACACAATTGGGTGCTTCTCCATTTAAAATAATGCCATCACCTTCCCCACAAAACCAAATGTTAGGACGATTCTAGCCTCATTTCAAAAAATACTTAATTTAGATGTGCCAATTTTTTCTCCCATGGAAATGAATTTGACCATGTGGCTCCCCAACAACAGTCTGAAGCGGCCTACTTGGTATGAACTAGGCCAGAGTTGGACTTTTAATAGAAAATATTTTGTTCCTTCACCCCACTCAGCCAATCATCTGCTTGAATTTGAATCATTAGATGGATGCAAGGGTGACACACAGGCCCAGTTTTCATGTTCACAGACAGGTTAACATGCCACAGTGGCTTGTTAACCATCCTGTGTATTTCAGTCATGTACTGATTGGCTTAATTACCCTCACTAGTGTAGTGCCTTATGTTATCTGAACCCAGGGAGTATGGCTTGCTGGAGTGGTTGAAAAATTACCCAGAACCCACAACCTCTTGCAATGTTGTGGGATGGTATGTTAAATACCCCCAAAGCCACCCTCACCCTCTCTGGACAACATGAGAAGCCTCACTCACGGTAGGCTTGGATGAGAAACTTGAGCATGTACTTGCTACAACCCACCACGGCTAACTACCATGGTCATGTGAATGAAGTCACAGCCTAGTGTGAAATTCTAGAAGAAATAGCACCTTTAAATAAAGATGTAATCATATCAAGGTTAGTGACCGGTTATGCTTTGACTTGGGTTTTGATGCTGTGCTGAGCTAGGTTCAAGATAAAATAACTCTTGGCCCAGGTTAGAAAACATGCAACTACAATTATGCTGGTAAGCTGTGTGTTATTCCATTCCAGCCACTCTGGTGGAATCTTAATACACCGAACTTTGTTAACTAAAAGTCATTTCTGTCCCTCAGGGTTGAAGCAATTAAGCTCTGCTTCTGCTGAGCTTGGCAACAAGATGACAGAAGTAGGACTGGTTTGTGCCAGCAGAGAATGTCAGCAGTACAGAGGTGGTCATGGGGATTTCTACCTCCAATTATACCAACTGGATAATTACTTCAATTGGAACATGCTTTTGAAGGGAAAAGGAAAAAACACTCCACTGCAGCAGTTTAGGGCTTCACAGCAATACGGCATGCCTGATTGCCACTGAAAGTTTTCAGAACATCTCATGGTATGGCCATGACCCTAACACAGGTGTATAAAGCCGGTACAACAACCCTCAAGTAACACAGAGAAAGCAAGTTACTCAGTCAGATAGACCAGTTGTCTGTCATCTAACATTCTCTAACTCCCTGAGAATAAAGAAAGCCAAGATCATCAGCATGCACCAAGAATATTTATTCTGCTGCCCTCCCCACCCTCCAAGAGCACAGTGCCTCAAAAATTATCCATGCAAAATCAGTGCTGCAGGGTCATAGGCAAAAATCAGAGGGAATCAGGATCTCCTCATTTGCTCCCCCAGTCCCAAGCAATACCAGAAAGCACACCTTTATTTAAAAATCTGAAAGTTCTGGTTTAGAATACCTGCACAGTTGAGGATTTCTTTTTTGTTATTCCGTATATGTCTAAAGCAAGAAGATCCAAAACATATACTGAAAAACTGATGGAAAGGTTAGTAGTAAATCCACTGAGTGCGTAATCACAAAAATAAGATCCAGAAAAAATAGGGGATGCTGTTAGAGCCATGTCATTTGGGGACCTCTCTGGGTGCAGAGATGTAGGAACTACATATTTATATTTACTATCTAGGCCTTGGACAAGTTCTGTGAATCTACATTGATTATGGAGATGGAGGTGCAGCTTCTGCATCTCAGCAAGCACTTGCCACTTTTTATGAAGGACCACGGAAAGCTTCCTGCGCAATAGAAGGTAAAGGAACAAAGCTTTTTAAAGTACATCATGAAGGGTAGGAATGAACTGGGCAAAGTTCTCATATCCCATGGTGCTACAGCATCTGTCAGCCCTGGCACATTTCAAGTAGAAATGTACTTAACTCATTAAAAAAAAGCTTGAATCAACAAGGCTTGGGCTATTTGTGCAACACCTAAATGATATTTTCAGCCAAAAGTATTCGACTTGTCCAGAGCCCTCTGCAGTGAGAGATTTAAGACACTGTTTCAGCTTTCCTATCAGAGGGGAAACATAATTTTCAGTAACAAATCGATTTTAATATGGTGCTTGTGTTAAGTTCATAAATAATCTCTGTACATGTTTGAAACATTGTAATATGCAGTCTTATATACAAATTTTTGCAAGTTCCCCATATAAAATATACTTTGGGGATCACAAACAGTCCCCCAAACACAATAGCAGCAATTTATGGTGGGCCATGTTCCAAGGAGGCACACAGGTACATACTTACAGATACAAGTAATTCACTGCTTTGCTGATCTAAGACCCTGATTACTTCTATAAATGATGCACACATTTCCTCCACTCATAAACCAGCATAAAGAAGTAAACAATACTTTGTAAAATGTGAATTGTAGAGTTGCGTATGTTATTCAAATACACACTGTATTGATAAACCTTCCAAGCATGGAGAACTGTATGATAAAAAAAGCAAACTAGCTAGGTAGCTGTAATTCTGTCTCTTGCTCATGTTATTACAAATATTGGACTATGATTCAGTTCAAAGATGCACTACACAATCTCCAGAATTCCTGATGAAGCACAATAACAGAATGGATCGCAGAGCAGCCTAAATCTGTAGCTGTCAATAATTTGATTTTAGCCTTCTTAAAGACAAAAAAGGCCCCAAAAACATTCCACTAACCTGTATTTGTTGCAAGAATGACTTTAGCTTGTGTCAGGATTTCAGTTATAGCTGTTTCTTCTCGCTCTTTCAGCTCTTTTCTCAGTATTTTAATCTCATTTAGAAAATGACTTCTTTCCCCTTTGTCTTGGGTCTTTCTGCTCTTCGCCTTCACAAAAGGAAAAGTTAAAAAAGAAAAGAAACCTTAATCCCACGTAATGTAGGGACCAGCACATCAGTGTATGCAATGCTGAGCAGCCAAGGTAATAATTAAAGCTGCAGAAATATTCCCCATAAAAGTACAACATGTTGCATTGATAGTATCAACAGTATTAAATATCCAGCCCTTCTACATCTACTGAAAGATCTAAATGAGAAAAGGAAGTACATTTAGTTCATATTTATGTTGCAGCATGTGCTGCTGATATGCCCCATCAAGTCATCTCTGACTTATGGTAACTCTATGAATGAAAGCCCTCCAAAATATCCTGTCCTTCATAGCCCTGCTCAGCTGTTGCAAACCGAAGACCGTGGCTTCCTTTTTGGAATCAATCCATCTTACCTTTGGCTGTCTTCTTCTGGCTTCAACTCTTTTTTTAGCAGTATTCACTTTTCCAGTGGGCCTTGCCTTCTCATGAAGGGGCCGAAGTACACCAGCCTCAGCTCTGACATTTTTGTTTCCAGAGAAAGTTCTACTTTGATTTGATCAAGGGACCACTTGTTTGTTTTTCTTTCAGTCCAGGGTATTCACAAAACTCTTCTCCACCATGTTTTGAACACATCAATTTTCTTTCAACCTTTTTTTTTTTTACTATCCAGTTTTCACACTCACACATAGCAATTGGGAATACAAAAGTGTATATGATCTTGCCCTTGTTCTCCAATGGCACACCCTTAAAGCTGACAGTCTTTTCTAGTTCCTTCATTGCTCCCCTTCCAAATCTTAGTCTTCAGATCACATGGTTGCAATCTCCCTTTGCACTGATGTCCAAGCAAAATCTTACACAATCTCGATTTCTCCATTGTTGACAGTAGAGTTGTGTATTTCTTCTTAGGAACCTCGATTTTTGTTCCTAATGTTCAGCTGCAGTCCTGCTTTGCACTTTCTTCTTTCACTTTCATCAGCAGTCATTTCCATTCATTGCTGCTTTCTGCTGGGAATATAGTTTGCATTTCCTGAATTATCGATATATCTTCTGGAAATTTTCACTCCTACTTCCTCTAATCCTAATCCAGTTTTCCTTATGACACAGATTGAATTGACAGGGAGGTAAATACGCTTTTGTCTGATGCCTTTGTCTACAGGAAACCATTCTGTTCCTCCAGATTCTGTCCAAACAGTAGCTTCTTGTCCATACTACAGGTTATACATCAAGATGATAAAATGCTGAGGTACACCCACTTCTTTCATACCTTATCCATAGCTTCTCATGAACAACACAGCCAATGGTTTTGCTGTAATCTATAAAGCACAGACCAATCTTCTGAAAATGCTTTGGTACACTCCAGTAGCCAGCATGTCTGCAATATACGCTTAGTGTCTCTTCCTCTTTGGAATCCAACTTGCCCATCAGGCATTTCTCACTCCATCGAGGGAAATATTCTTTGTTGCAACACCTTGAGCATCATTTTGCTTGCATGAAAAATCAATTCAATGGTGCTATAGTTATAGTGTTGCCTCGCTATAGTGTTGTGAGTCAAGGTGCCTCTTTCAAGCAGTTAAAAGTCACAGGCCGTATTTCTTTGCAAAACATTTTTATTGCTCCCAAGTACAAAACAGATCTCAGAGCATGCACAAAGTGGTTTGCTGAACCCTATCTACTGTCCTTAGAAACAGTGCCTGGCCCCATTCCCTCAGGAGGGGCAAGCACACCCTCTCTCCATACACTACTTGTTCAATTGGGCTTCCTGCCTCTTCTGACACTTTGCCAGGGGGTCAAGAGTGGGATGGGTCTGCTCAGCATCTGAGAATTCCTCATCCTCAGAGACTCCTCCCTCTGACTGTACATCCTGGTCATTCCCAGGAGTTGCCTGGCTTAGTGAAGAGCCTGGCCTTGAGATAATCACCTCCTCCATCTCAAAATCTTGACCTAACCCATCCTCCCTAATCTCCCCATAAGATGTTCCACATTCTGATTTTGAAGAATCTTCTGGGATGCAGCCAGCAGTCCATGAGAACGATTGCCCAAGACCACCATCTTTCTCACCCGCAATAGGTGCGGTCACTAGCATCTTCTTTCTGGAAGAATCAAGTGTGTGCTGGTGTATAAGATGACCCTTGAAACCAGAAATAGCGAGGCAAAAATCTGGTGGGAGGGATCATCTTATGCGCCAGGTGAAAAATGTTCATCATACAATAGGACCCCCTGTACCTGCAGGGGATAGGTTCTAAGCTTCCCAGCAGATGCCTGCAAACCATAGGAGACCCACAAAAGTGGAAAACTCACAAAATCTCTAGGGAAAAAACATCTCTAGGCACTCTGTTTGGGGAATGCCATGTTATTCGATTGGCAATAGCCGGGATTACTAATGTGTTTTGTCTCTCAGTGGGTGTGAAGACTCTAGAGATATTAGAGGCTTGTTCCTAGAGATATTCATGTTTTTTCTAGAGGTATACCTTGATACCAGTGTGTCAAGAGGACATTTGAAACCAGAAGTAGTGAAGCAAAAGTTGGGGGTCATCTTATATGTTCAACAATAGTTTGGACTGTCCAGTAAAACAGCCCAAAATATTGACCTCATCTTATATGTGAGTCACTGTATATGCCCATAAATATGGTTTCAGTGCTTTCAGCCTGTAAGCCATTGTTTTGCTTTCCATATTTGTTAGCATATTCTTGTTAGGATTTGGACTAATTCAGTCTCTGTAGCTTGGAAAGGTTTTATTGGTATGCTATCTGCTCTGGCTGCTTTGTTCCTTCCAAGAGCTTTTGGGACAGCTTTTACTTCACTATTATTGCAGGTTCTTTCTCATAGGATTTTTCTTGGAAGCCATCTGTCATCCTTTTATCTCTTCCATATAGTAGTCCCACATATTTTTTCTACCTCCTCTTTATTTTCTCCTGGTTAAACAGAATGTTTCCCTGTTGGTCTTTCATGAAGGTTTGAATTTCTCTTTGATTTCTTGAATCTTCTGGAAGTGGTCTCTTGCCTTTTTCTCTTTGAACTGGCTAGTATAATAGTCACTGAAAAGTTGCAGTTATGATTCTGACTAGTGATACGAATTTAATGTGGATTTTAATTGATGTATTATTTATGAACTATATATTTTCTGGTACTAAAATCAATAACCCACCTCCCCCTACAAAATAACATTTTAAATCTAAGCACATATCCAATTCAGTTGTACAAACCCTTAAAATAAGTGAACAAACCCCAGGGTTTATATAACAAGGTGGTGATAATATTATTTCATCATGAACGTGTCAAATAACACTCCTTGCTAATTTCTAAAGCTATAAAATGTTAATAAAAATGTAGTGCAGCAACTGTTTCTTTTAACACTTTCTAAATGTACATGCCTTTTGAAATAATGCATTATGCTTCAACACAATTAATATACATAAACAAAGCAACACTATATATGTTGTCAAAGAGCCCTAATGTGGTTTGTCAACATGTTATACAATATGATACCTTTCATCACCAAGAAATCAGCACACAAGATAAATAATCTAGTGGATTTGGCGAAAACCACATAAGTGAAGTCAAATGATCAAACATGTTCATGGGCAGCAAAACAAGATGGAAGAAAGATCAGAAAAAAACCTGTGTCACCTCCTCCCATAAATTCTCCTGTCCTCCCCTCACAATAAATCAGTTTTGTTAATCCAAATGGTTCCCTGTATGTTGGATATGGTGGCCAAAGCCTTGATGCAATTCTCCTTCTGTTCTTAAACTGAAAAGTTAAGATCCAAGTCAATAAATCCTTGAACCACACCTTATTTTCTCCACCTATCCACCATCTAGCCATCCTCCAAGTTCTCAATAGACATGGTGTGCATTAATGATCTCCTCTACACTTACATCAAGAATGTACAACATATGGTCTGCAGCTGAATTATTTTTTTGGTCAAAGCGTTGCTGTCAAAATTGTTTGAACCTCATATTTTATTAAAACCAATGTTTCTATCCCTGGAAAGGACAAACATGCAAATAAAAACACAAAAACAAGTAGAAAAACTCAATTCTTATCATATTAAACTCGAATCAATGGTTTATAGCCTTAATATCAATTATTGTTCAAAACAGACAGCTGTCAGAGTAGTGGGTGTGGCAGTTTTAATAGTACAAAATAAGTCAGTCTTCTTTATTAGATCAATGGTTGATCGGTAGGAGTATTTTAAAAATTCAACGGTAGATGTTTGCCCCTTCTGCCCCCACAGGGCTTCAATCTGAGTTCTTATAAAAAAAAATCTATACTGCAACATAAATCACAATAAATCTGTCTGCTGTTAAGGCACTATAAGACTGAGTTTTGAGTGTGCTGCAAACACAGCTACCCCTTCAGACCCTGGCTGTGCAGGCCAATGAAACAGGGTAGTGGCTCAAGTGAGGGTCAGGGATATGGAAAGTCCAAGTATGCTCAGTGGCCGGCTATAAGCAAGTTTTCAATATATTGAGTCCTGGGTATCTAAAGGAACGCTTGCATCCATATATGCCCTCCTGCCCCGTGAGATCAGCAACAGATGCCCTTCTCCGGGAACCCTCTGGGAATGATATTAGGAGGGTGAGTACCCGGAGGAGGGCTTTCTCTGCGGTGGCGCCCCATCTATGGAATGCGCTCCCCAGAGAGGTCCGCCTGGCGCCGTCGTTATTTGTTTTTCGGTGCCAGGCTAAGACCTTTTTATTTAAAACTTATTTTAAGTGTTAATTTATTGGTTATTTGTAGGATTAAAAAAAAATTTACGCCGAGATGCACCGGGTTTTAATATTTTTATTGTATAATCTGGTTCTTACTGTAAGCCGCCCTGAGGCTTTGTTGCAATGGGGGAGGCATAGAAATGTTTTAAATAAATAAATATTCTATAGTTAAGTATCTTATTTACTGCTTCTTCCAAAATTCTATATCAGAATGCTTAGAGAAAGTGTGGAGAGACTTCATGATCCATTTTTGCTTTTTCTTAGAAACCCAAAGCCCTGGATCCATTGCCCTGCGTCCTCATTCTGAATTGGCCTTGCATCCAAGTAAGCTGAGGACCAGGATTTAGGGTAGGGATGGGAAAGTTATTTCAGTGAGGACTGAATTTAGGTTTGGAAAGGCTCTTGGGGGCTGCATTTTAGAGGTACACAGGAACAAATGCAAAATGTAATAGAACCTAAATGCAAAAATAAAAAACCATACATACTTTAGGAAAGGCATTTCAACAAATTCAGGGATATCACCAAATGATTGGTAGACAGAAAAACTGTTGGTAGGTGGTTCATCTGTCCAGTGGGGAAATATTCAACCTGTCCTGGATGGGGTTACACTTCCCCTAAAGGAAAAGGTTTGTATACTTGGGGTGCTCCTAGATCCTGGATTATCCTAGTCACTGATCACAGGTGGACTAAGTGACTAGGAACACCTTTTATCAGCTTAGGCTGATTTACCAGCTATGATCTTATCTGGACAGGCAGAGCCTAGCAACAGTGATCCATGCTCTGGTAACCAATCATTTGGACTACTCTAATGCAGTCAACATGGGACTGCCTTTGAAAACAGTCTGGAGACTTCAGAATAGGAGAGAGTGACTGCTAACAGGGTTTGGCTGACATGAACACATCACACCAATCCAATCAATTACACTGGCTATCGACTGAAGTCCATACCTGATTCAAGGTACTAACATTAACATTTAAGGTCCTAAATGGTTTGGTTATCTGAAGGAATGCCTGCTTCCATATGTGCCTGCCCAAGCCCTGAGAGAAGCACCTTCCAAAGAAAGCAAGGAAGGTGGCTACTAGGGGAAAAGCATTCTTGCTTGTGGCATCCCATTTGTGGAATCAGCTCCCTGAAGAAGTGCACCTGGCATCTCCTCTCTGTTCCTTTCAGCGCCAGGTGAAAACCTTTTTATTTACCCAATATTTTAACAGTTAGATTTTTATCCTCATTTTTACCATATTTACTGTAACTCTGAATGAAATTTAGCTGCAATGGTGATGGCAGGATTTGGCATTATACTTTATTGCATTAAGGTATTTATTATGTTGCATGTTTATTATGTGTGTCTTTTGTATACGTTTTATATTAATTGGGTTGCTTCTGATTTTGTAAACTACCCAGGGAGCCTGTGGGCTGATGGGTGGTGAAGAATTATAAGTAAGTAAATAGGAGGGAGAAAGGGGGTTAGGCCAGGACAACAGGCATGGCCTGAAAGGATGGAATAGGAGCTCAGAAGGGTTCGGCCCTTGGGCCTGAGGTTCCCCATCCTTAAGTTAGGGGAAACAGATTTCGAAGTTATTACTGAGAAAGTTTATTTACTGTCAAATGAAAGTCAAGACGGCCACTGGAGAGGAAGGCATCCATCAGTCAGGGAAGAACACGATTCATGATCCAATGTGGCTTTGGGGAAATCACTGCCTCCCTGCCACTGCTTGCCTCTCTAAGTGGGAAAATGCTGCCACTGTATGCATTTTGTGACGACTGCAAAGCACTTCAAAGTAGGAATGTTGCACAAAATGATATAGTAAAATGCTGTTGGAGATGCTAAAGAAGCAAAGTTTCAGTAAGCACATACGATGCATGCACTTTTCCCCAGAAATTCAAGTGGCTCAGTAGTGAACAGAAGGACGTGCTGTGTGCCTTGACCTGGCACCTATTGTCAGGCATGACTGTGTGACAGAGGACAACTTCCTGGGACAGCACATCTAATGAAATCATAATGCCATCTAGTACAATATACTGAAAAGAAATGTAATAATTTGTATTAAAATATATTATCCCAATTAAATTAGTGCCACATTTTAAATTCAGTTTAAGACAGGTAATTAAATAAAGAGTATGACAGGGAACTCTTAATATTCTGCTTTATAGATTTTGCGAGGCAAGCAAAGGATGGGTGGTGCATGTACCAAATTCATTTACAATGAATTTTCTTCCATTGGTTTTAAGTTATAATGCTGTCCATGTAATTTAATATTCATACAACTTAAAATACTGTAGTTTCTATTTCAGGGGATTAGGTAGAATGAAGAAAATAGAAATAATTAATCAGAGATCCCCCCCCCGCCATTTCAATGGGGTTTTCATGAAAACAGACCTCTTGTTTACTCTGTTCAACTCAATGACTCAGCCTTGACCTGTAGAAGCCACTGTAGAAGCAAATTGTATGAGGAAAGACAGGAGGAAAAGGGCACTGATGCTTCTGCTGACCACATTAGGCTTCAATAAAGATGAGCTGATGCTTTCTGATCTCTCCTTAGCCCTGAGCTGTTCCACTGAGTACAGCAATCATGCATACTGACAAGTAATTTAGCACCAAGAACTGAGCAAGGCCTTAAGTTTTAAGACTGTTTCGCATATTACTATTGTTATGACTAGATAGTCACCTAAGATTTCATTTAATATAAGTGTAGGGTCACAGTATAGACAGAGAAACAGTTGTTCAAGAACACATGTATTATACAGGTACATTGCAGTTTTTTAATGCAATGCCAGCATGGTGGCCCATCCAGAGTTGTTTCTGTGATGGGTGTGAAGTGGCCTTCATTCAGTTCAATGAAACCACCAATAATTAGGACTCAGCCATTTTCACAGATCATAAGCAGACAGGCTATAAATTCCTCTTGGGTTATTTGGCTCCTGAGATATTTAGGAAAGTTAAGGGAACATAGAACTAAATGAGCAGCTCACTTTATAAACATCAAGTGATTGCAAAGCTTCTTTTTTTTACCACGCAGATGGACCAAATAAACAGTGATGAAAGAATATAGAGGGAGCAGCACTTTGTTGTGCAGGTCCCTGAGATAAGGTATCAATAGGGACTGTTGCCATGGGGTTACCTGAGAGGCCAGATAGGAAGGGGATACTTCCAGGTAAGCAATGACGGCAAGGCCTCCACACAATGCAGTTGTAGGAAAATGGCATGGAAAGCTCAATGGTAGCACTGGGGGAGAGGAGCTGCTGCATTGACATGGGCTAGGATTTAAGGGATCTAAGGCTGCAATTCTTATACACACCTTCCTGCAAGTAAACACCACTAAACTAGTTGGACTTCTCAATAAACATGCATATGATCATGCTGAACAATAAGTAAGGTTTAATTCACACTATGAAATGCAAAAAAACCTGAGTCAAAACTCAGGGAGCAAAACTCTGATGGATTTTTTATTTTCTTGAGCTTTGGCTTCAAGACACAAAAACGCCTCTCTAAGTTCCGCAACTTCCATACCCTTTAATAAGAACTATGCAAATGAGACATTTTTGCTCATGGTTCCCCAGACACTGATACTGTGGTGGCAATATACCAGAGTTGGAAAAAGACCAGGGAGACCAGGGAAGCAGACAGAGCAATGCCAAGCTTCTCCACCATTACAGCTGTGTCACAGAATCATGGTAACATCATATCCCAGAAAAGAAGCTTGCATGAAGCCATAGAGAACTGCTGCCAGTCAGTGTTGGCAATAATGGGCTAGATGGACCAGTGGTCTGGCTCACAGAATCATAGACTAGTAGAGTTGGACGGAGCAAGATGCTAAGTTACACCATCCCATTCAGGGGACTGTCAAGACTCAATGTAAAGCAGATTCCTATCTTCCTATACTGGGATCTCTAATCTTTTACAGCTTGTGCACTGGCACCACAAGGCAGCTGTTTTGGAGTCTGCCACATCTCAAAATGGTTGACATCGAGCCTGCTTAGCCACACAGTAGAAGTACCTTTCTCAGGAAAGGAATTACAAGGCAGAGACTGGACCCAACCTCCAAATGCCAAACCACATATTTACCTGCACAAAGCACAACAAAACACCTATTTCACAGAAGGAAAACAGACAATATTGAGGGAAACTCAGCCCGAAAAAAACAAACACAAAGTCAAAATTAACTTAATTAACAAAACAAATTTTAACAAAATTAACCAGAACACAGACACACAGGAAAACTACCGTATTTTTCTGTGTATAAGATGCTACTTTTTCTTAAAAACATTTACTTAAAAATAAAGATGCGTCTTATATACAGGGGGCCGCAGGCACACTTGGTGGGGGGGAGACTGGCGAGCACAGGGGGGCAGCGCACGCAGCAGCAGTTTGCTCCCTGGCGATGGATAGAAAAAGTGGGAGGGGGGTCCTATACATGGGGGCATCTTATAGATGGAAAAATATGGTATCCCTCAAAACAAACATGGAAACAAAATGACCTCTAATCCAGACATACCAGTAATATTTCCTATATAACAGTTACTTCAAAAAGATAATGGAAAATGGAAAACAAAACTTACAAATGCTTGATCAATGTCCTTCCTAATATCTGCTACAATCTGGGCATTATCCCCACGTGCCAAGACTGCATCAAGTGAATGGTGCTGTATTGACTCCAAAAGGCGAGCTGAGTGGCCAAGCCGCAGGATCTGCACCTGATGGCCAGCAAGTCGCTCTACTAAATTGTCAACTGCAATGTTGGACGGAGCGCAGCACAGGACCTTGGAGAGAAACACATTATTGTAAAAAATGCTAATTCATTTTGCTAAGCTGCCAAAAGATTTGTAAAATCTTAGAACTCTGAGGAGACGGCCGCTGTATCAAAGTAAGGAGAAGGAGAAAGAAGGTCTGTTTCTAGTGGCCAGTGGTAGAGCAGCTTTTAAGACTTGTTTCAAATTCATTCCAGAGTTAGAACCCTGGTCTCGGGGTCTGACCTGCACTTGCACCACCACCACTGGATTCCTAGGGGAAGATGCCAGAATCAATGGAGAAGACTATTTTCTGCTCAAGGAAGAATCTCTGCTATGCATTTAGCCAGCTCTGTTCTTCAGGACCCACCCTGAGGTAAAAAAGCATAGCCAAACACCTCCCCAGAGTTGCCAGCTGCTGCTAAATTCTGTCCCTCCCCAGGTTCCACCCCAATATGCTGGGACCACCCTTTAGTTCCCAAGCTGGGCTGCAGAGTCTCAGGATCAGGGCCTCAACCCTACAACCGCACTAACTATAAAGATTCCTAGAACTACTGACTATTCTGGAATGGATTTCTCATGGGTTGTTTACTTCAGAAAACTTCAGTTTTGCTTCTTGCAGAATACAACATTCAAAATTAGTAGGGAGAACAGAGTCTTTGCTGAATGATTAAGTTGCTTCATTAGTCTTGAAATATGGGTTCAAATACCAATTCTGCCCCAGACCATCCCATCTAATCTTCTACAAGTCTCACAATCCATCCTGAGCCATTTCCAATCAATATGTGTGGGAGCAAGAGAATAACCCACTTTCCAGGACAGCCAAGGGGGACAAATAGATTGAAGATGGTAACATATACTGTGCTGTAAGTGAGTTCATACACTGATATGCCCTCACCTTCGTAACCCAATTCCTATGGTGTTTGGGTTGGTAAAGAAATTGCAGTGACTTGCAGCATGGCTGCAATGCAATTACAGAGTAAGACTGCTTGTCCCTACAGACTTCTAATCAAGGATTTCCTCAGCACAAAGCACAGACCTTACCAGTACAGCACATTTTTCATACACGTGCAAGCCAATATTCAGTCCCTTGTATCACCAGTTAAATTAGGGATGGAGAACTTCTTTTGGACTGAAGGCAGCATTCATTTATGGGGGCTGCATAGTAGAGGTGCAAAAGGTAGATGAGGAAACGTGGGTGGGATCAAAGCTCAAAATGCACTCTCCACCACGCACTCTCTCATTCACACAAGACACAGGCATATGCATGCACTGATATGCACCCACACAAACATACCTACAGAGACCAATTCATATATATGCACATGCACACAAACACACACAGATCCCCTCACTTCCATGCTGCAACTATGGAAGAAGGCTGGAAAAAGGTTTTCCGTTGAACAGGCTATTGCTCCAGCCTGGTGTCACAAGACCTTGGAATTGGTATGCACTCACTCACTTTCAAGTCTTGCTGCACAGTTTGGAGTATGATTTCTACCACTGTCGTTGTCTTTCCAGTTCCCGGCGGCCCATGGATTATAGCAACATCTTTCTGAGCCAGTGCAAAGCAAACAGCCTCCCTCTGTGAGGCATCCAGTGATTCATTGTAGAACTTCAACAGCTCTGCAAGAAGCATCAGGAGGAACATTTGTTCAGTTCTCAGTCCCCCAAAGAACATTTGCAGAAGAAAGAAAGAAAGCACAGCAAAACAAATAAAGCAGCTCCCTTTGGAAGCAGACCAGACTGGATAGTAAGAATATAACCTTTGCAACAAAAGGAAACATCCTTGTTCATACTCAGAAGAATCAGGATCCCCAGTGTGGATCCCCTGGCTTTCAGTGCTTAGCTGCAAAAAGTCTCAGTATTCAGACACTCTGTATTATTATCTGAATCTGTATTTGAACAGACAATCAATGAGCTTGACCACACTGTATTTTAAGGAGGCAGTACCTTTAGACAAGTTCCACCATGTTCTTTACTTAGAAAGTTCATCACACACACGCATGCATGCACGGAGGGAGAGAGGGAGGGCACTCCTTTGCTAGTAAGCCAAACATCCCTGTAGAGGCACATATTGTTCATATTCTAAAAGATCAGATCAAGAAACACCATGCCAAAGATGGCTGGCATAATAGTCCTAAACCTTTGGAAATGGGAAAATGCCTTAAGGGACCCTTCTGCCAGCAGACAGGAACTCCAGAAGAGGGGGAGTCATATCTGCCCTGGAGGCCCCCCTTCACACCCATGGAAAGCTTTATGTGTAATTCTATGGCCAGGGCCCCATCAGAGGCTGCTCTGTAAGAAGGGCCAGTCTGAAAAGCTCCAGTGCATGTCCCCACAATCTGCTTTCCACAATCTGACAGCATGTGCCAGCAGAGCTTTGGGAGTGAGAGAGGATTTTTCTTTCCATTCCATTTCGTTCCTACACTCCACATGCCCCAAGTGGAGAGAACTCTTGGAGCTTGGAACTGGGAGTACTGAAGTAAAAAGTCCACTTCAGTGAGAAACTTTCCTAGCCTCCTTTAGCAAATCACAATCTATCAGCATCATTTTGTTCATCTGGAAAACTGGAATACTACTAGTGACCAAGTCAACAGTGAGGATGAACAAAATTAAGAATTGATATTGACATTGCTTTAATATTTATATTATAGCATTTTAAAATTTCATTATAGCATATGTATCATCTTTTCTTCAGTATGCAAAACTTTTGCCCAAAACCATGTTGAAACATTTACAGTGTTAATATTTACTTGACTTAAAAAATAATAAAAATGTCAACCAATTCTCGAGATGGCTAATTTTTGCTTCCATTGTGTTTGTTTTGCTGTTACCCATGTAATACTCTGTACTGCTTACTCTTGTGTAAATGCTGTATTCAATACAATTTAGCCCCAATTAATGTACATATACATAAGATGTTTTAACAAATTACTAATTTTATTGTTGCTACTTGTTTTATTGATTATATTTATATGCTGGTTCAGCATTTGTAAGCCTTCCAGAGAAAGCTTGGATTATGGAGTGCCATAGATGTAGCATGAAATAAATAAACCATAAATATCCTAAAGCATATTCTTCACCTTGTGCATCAATGCTTTTAGCATTGGGCCCTTTATTTGTCTTCAGTAGGCAAATAAAGCAGGAACTACATAGAGCTAGTACTTGCATCACTGCAAAGTAGAAGGATTTTGCAAAATTCCAAGCAACAGCCAAGTTCACCTGTGGTGAAGATGGAAAATGTAACATAAAATGAGAGGACTGACAGGACTTCTTTTAGCCAAGGAGTGTGACCAGTTTTGAAACTGAGTCAACAGATATGCATACCAGGAAGCAGGATGCTGGCTTGCTCCTGCCCCCATTCTTCGAGTTACCTGAGCACATTTTTAAAAATTACTTTTAAACATTACATGAATATCCCTTCACTCATTCACCACCATCCACTTTTCCTTCAAAAGTTCTCTAAGTGCAAACTGCTTTGGGGGAAAAGTGCAAAGATTTTTTGAAACATGGGGGTGGACAGGCTGCCAATCAGCATCACGCACAGCTAGCTTCCACTTCAGATTTTTCAGAAGCAATTTTTCTAACACTAGTCCCTGGAGAGGAAAGGTACATTTGTGTAGAACAGAATGAGGACACATCCAGAGATGCTTCACTGCTCACTTCGCCTTCACCTTTGGATAAGTAAGCATGTGTTTCACATCGTCCTCATTCCCACTTTACCCTTTTGGATGTAAAGGTTACAGCTATGGTATTTATTCCTTTATTCCTCTGCGTGTTTGAAATCAGAGTGCTTCAGAAGAACGTTGGTCTCCATGGTCTGGAGGAAATCAATATTTAAAATCACTTTTTACAAAGAGGAACAGTTGGTAAGTTGGTGTTGTAATCATCATTAATTTGGCAAATGCTACATGAAGAAGCTTTTTTAATTTCAGGATGGCAAAAAGCACTGAATGGATAATTTTCATTACTGCTCTGTATCCACTGAGAGCTGGCCCATCAAAATGGTAGAAGTGCCTCTTTTACTCAGCCTGACTACCAAAAGGTTGTTTGTTTTAAATAGCAAGAAAAAGAACTTGGTCTCCAAATCCATTCAGCTTTAGGCCCTTATGTTACAATGGCCTATTAGAATACTCCTCTGAGGCTGTTTTGCAGGAAGCACAGGGTGACCATATCACAATTTTATTATGAAGCTTACCTTTTTAGGGCATAATTAGCAGTGAAGGTCTCACCGAAAAAGTAAACAGTACAATTAGCTGGTAATGTTTAACACAGAAGAAGTAAAATACACAGAATTCTTCTTTACACATAGGTTGCAGAGCAAATTTTAACAAAAATAAAAAATTGCAAATTTAGGTTGAACTTTCTGAGTCAGAGTAAAATCCAACTAACATTCCTTTTTAATTATTAGCTATTTTATAAGGAAGTCTGAACATGCGAATAGCATCAACTTTTATTTTGACACTGCTATAAACTCATGAAGAATGTAAAAAGTTCACTGCCAGCATTTTAAACATTGCCCATTTTTTAAAAAGCTAATTCATTTATTATTCTATGATCACCATTTTAAAACAATCTTACATCTCACTTCCCACAAACTTGAAGTAATATGTAATGGCCCTCAGCATTTCTTTTTGAGAAAATAGGCCCTTGTGACAGCAGGATAAACATGTCCCAATATTGTGACTAAACCATACTCTCTCAAAAGTCAAAGAGATAATTTTTCTGCTTCATGAATTTCAGAAAAGCCGTTGGCTCTGCAACATTTCAGACTGAAACAGCATTGTAACAGATGGAGTGGGAGGGGACTCAGATCCATGCATCAGTCCATCAGATATAGAAGGAGAACAAGCACACAAAGCAGGCAAGCAAGAGATGGAATCTCAGGTACTTCCCAATCTGGATTTGTCAATAAAGCACCATCTGACGGAGCCTCAGCACACTTGGGATTTATCAGCACAACAAATTTAAAGATAGCACACTGGAAACCGAGGCTATACGTCTATGACATTAGGGGTACAAAGGAAGGTACTACTGCAATATGGGCGGAGAGGTCGTCTTTTTATGAATCCAGGGCTCAGCTTTGGTGCTGAATTATCCGTACCTTTTGAAACACATGCATTTAATGTAACTAATTTCAATCAGAAGTTTAGAAGTATGCTTTTCCTTGCATGTGGAAATGTTACACATAAACATGCAAGCATTCTGTAAATTCTCCCTATCACCTCACACTGAAAATGCACAGATAATGTTGGGGGGTGCATTGAAATATATGCAGTATTTACCCTTGTATCAAATTTATACTTTACCTTTTCAAAGGATATGAACCTTCCCATACACTAGGGTGCTCTAAGCACCTCCCCAAAGTGCTTCTTAGTCAAAACCCCCCAACTGTGGAATGATCTCTTCACTAGGATCCCCCTAGAATGAACATTGCCATCTTTTTGGTGCCAGGCTAACCAATCATCCTCTCTTTCTGTGGGCCTTTGATGGGCTTTTAACATCAGTTGTCTTATCAGGTCCTAGAATCTTATTGTAAATTATGTTCAACTGCTTTCAGTTTTGTTAAACTTTCAGTGTTAAATTTTCTTAAGTCATTGTTTTGTAAGTTTTGTGAACTGTACAGAGAGCTTTGGCTGTTGGATGGTATAGAAATGAAATAAAGAAAATATATGATGACTACTTAGCAGTCACAATAGTACTTTGGTGGAAGTTACAGTGCAATCCTGTATTTGTTTACTCAGAAGTAAGCTCCACTGAATTTTGAGTAATATATACTATTGCATTGTCAGAAGCATACATATATTTTTATTCAAGCAATAGTTACAAACATACCTAGTGTTAGAGATGGAGCCGCAATTCACTGTACTCCTCAGCACATGAAATGTGACTGGCTTAGAATCTTGCTCTGGATAGCAAGCAAAACCCTAAGTTTATGGTTTCAGTAAAGGCAGATTAAGGCAGAAAATTAGTAGCTCTGGTGATGGTACTAGGAAATCTCCTCCAAGTCCTGCAGTGCAGTGGCTGGACCTGCAATGCAGGTGGACTTCACAGAGGGCTAAAACTGTCAAGCCAGACACTCAAGCATGGAACAATGGGGACTGCACACAACTACACTCACTGCTGCATAACACTGTCCAAATGGAAGGTGGGGTGGTGCTGCATATATGAGCATCCTGGAAAGCCCACCAGGCAGCAACTTAGAGAAGTAGCTGATTCTTTGTGATCCAACCCAGCCAGGCCAGTAGAAAGCCTGCAAACATGGTTCCTCAAGCTTGATGACCAAAACCAGTGGTATTTGGCCATTTAGGCTGGACTGCAGCATAGGCACTTCTACTGGTGCTAATGACTTTATGGAATTGTAAGCATTAATATTTGAAGGTAAACAACTGCAAAAGATGAGCATACTGAATTAATGGTATGAATTATGTGGACTGTCAGTAAGGAAGTCAGCCACTCAGGGGCATAGTCTTCAACAAGCTGAGGAGGAAGAGATCCATAAAGGCAGGCACATGATGAGGGCATCCAAGGGGCTGAGATTATATAAAGCTAGTTAACTAGTACATAAGGCTTTCAGACAAAATGCCTGCATATTCAGCTACTACAAGAGTAGCTGAAGCATTTGGACTGTAATGAGACAATTCATGCCAAGACCTTGCAAGCAGTCACACAGAATGAAGAATTGAGAAAACCCAGAAAGTCATACAGGAAGGAGAGACATACTGGGGTCACTTGCCCTCTTGATTCTTATAAGCCACTTCCCGAGTTTTGGAGTTTTTGGTTACTATCTCCTCTGTTCAGCTATCAGTGTGGGAAATGGGTAGGGAACTGATGCTGTGGTTCAAGATGAAAAAGGCTTGACCAAAGAGGAAATTCCTGTGAGGTTTACAGCATATATATGAAGCAAGTTCCTCAGATTCTCCTTGATAGCACCAGCCCTTCCCACCAAGTATGTAGCTACACAAGCAATTCCTTCAAATGGAATACTTCTCAAAATTTGGGAAAAGATACCAATAAGGGTGGCAACAGCAGGGCTAGGTAAATGCAGATCATAGGAGAATGGTGACCTCTGGTGGTTACCAGATATCATTTATGCAAAGTTCACTGGCTGCAGCCTAGTCCTTGCCTTCTCCCTCCTGAGCAAGCCTTCTCTGTGAAGACAGCTTCTACACTCTAATGTCTCAGATACATTCTACAACCTGCATTCTGATGGGATAGCCCTGGCAGAGCTGTACCATGTGCTTCCGTGAGCGTGCTGAATAGCTTGAGAAAGACTGAGCCATTTTCTAACAAACACCTGCACCAGAAAACATATGCCAAACTCTGAATAAGACTAGCAGTTATATACCACATAGAAAAGAGATGTTATAAATACTGTGACCTTTCCTTCCAGTGATTCTTCTTCCAAACAATGGGATAATTTAGTTCACACAGTTAAGAAAAGCACCTGTCATGTATTAACTGTAACTTAAAAAACATAATTTACACAAACAGTTCTTCACGGCAGAATGGGTGTCTGCAGGCACATATGGTGTCTGGATCATATATGCAGGAATGACTAACAGAAGCTGGAAGGCATAAGGTTGGTGTAAGGTATATGTCAGTACTTGGAACAACCCATTTAAAATGAATGGAGGCTGCCCAACCTGAATTCTTGGTGGGTAACAATTCAGCTTGGATCTTGTTAAGTGCAAGAGAATGGATTAAAGATCATGCTGCTGATTATGTGACCAAGGATCTCCCATCTTCCACTGTTCAGAAATCAAACACCGAGAATTTAGAAAACATTTTCACTAGGCTCTGGATTTACAGTCATCACATTTATAATAAGCAAAAAAGAAAGAATATAGTTGACTGGACTAAGGAACTTTCTCTGTCTGGATTCAGCATGCCTGGAAAACCAGGGACCATTTGTGTAGAAGGCCCACAGAGCATGTGTGAGGAGTTTTGGTCAAGAATCAAAAGGTGATCATGGAAGCGAATTTTAATTTGTCACAGAGAAGACATTTGCACAGAAGGGTCTATAGCTGAAATGGAGAAACAAAAGAAGTTTTTGGCTTTTGAAGAAAAAATATTTGATGCCCACGGTGCCAGAGGAAATCATATGGATTTGGGCCAATTCTATCATTTTTTACTTGACAGTGGATGTGCAGATATGTTTCAACTCTACTTTGGAGTAGAAGGACAGTAGACAATAAAACAGGTGTGGAAGAGATAGAAACACATGGAAAAATTAAATGAAGCTCTGTTAAACTTAGGTGCTTTCCTTTAAAAAAAAAATCAATGAATGATCATTAGATTTTAATATGTTATCTATATTAATGTTCCTGCCTATGTGTTTGTTTTTAGTTTGTTGTATGATTATATTGTATTAGTATGGGATTGTTTTATAATGAAAAATTGGTAATATTGGTAAAAGAGAGCCAGTGTGGTGTAGTGGTTAAGAGCACGGGACTGGGACTCAGACGATCTGTGTTCTCGTCCCCGCTCAGCCATGGAGCCAACTGGTGACTTTGGGCCAGTCACAGACTCTCAGCCCAACCTACCTCACAGGGTTGTTGTTGTGGGGATAAGATGGAGGAGATGTAAGCTGCCTTGAGCCCTTTGTAGGAAAAAGGCAGGATATAAATTGAGAAATAAATAAATAAAAATCCTGACTAACTGCCATGGACTGTTTATTCTCCATTAATGTCTAAGCCCACTGCATTATACCACAGCCCAGCCAAGAAGGTAGGAAAGCCAGGCTTGCTCAATTCACTGAGCCACCTGGATCCCAGAATACTGATCCCAGAATACCTTGTCCTTCTGTAAAACAACACATCAATCAGGGTTGGGACTGACAGTTAGCGGCTCATGGCAGCCCACAGAACAGCGCCTGCTGTGGGTGTTCCTAGCACCATTGGTGCATTCAGTGCCAAATTAAATTAAGCTAACATAGCTATGCCAACCTCCCAACATAGCTATGCTAACTTGAAGTCAGTAAAAGTTCAATTAGAAAGGAAGGATATAAGGAAACTGTGGCAGGGTCACACACGATGCTAAACAGAGCTGCACAATAACCGCATACCATGGAGTCTCACCTTGTGTCCTGGGTCCACACACTTGGGTGGTTTCTATGCATGCATAGGTTCCATGCGTCTTCTTCTCTCCAAATGGTAGCATGTATCCATCAGCCTCCCTGGCTCAGAATCAATCCCACATGCCTGCTTCATGTGCCTTTCTCTTATTGGCCCACACACTCCCCTGAGCATGGACACAGCCAGTTGCCATCGGGTGGGGGGGGGTTTGCTTGGTGAAGCAATTGCCTACTCATTACAGTAGCTCTGTTGCTCCAACAGAGCAGAGAAGAGGTGCACTCCCTGTTGCTGCTTTGCTCTGTAAGCACACCCATCTCTCTCCCACTCCCTCACTGCACAAGTCCACACTCCCCATGTGCAGGACTCACATGTGCTGCCAGGGGCCACCTCCCCACTATGACCAGGCAGATAGAGAGCATCAGCATGGGCACCTGTAGCAGGGACCAAAAGAGCGCTTCCTTCAGGCAGACTTTCCTGAGGGTGCGCATCTGGGCATCTGCCTGGGCAGGTTTTCTGGCTGGCCCCAGGAATATGTTTGTCCTGAAGCTCTGGTAGGGGGGATGGGACCAGCAAGGATTGCTGAGGGTCCTTAAGAATGTTAAGGGACATGATAGGAGGTGACCGGGGGGGGGGGGGGGGAGACAGAGCAGGAGACGGGATTCTTGGGGCAATTGTCCTGTTTGGTGATGCCTGTGCACAGCCCCCCTGCTCCTCAGGCCTACACATCCTCTTTGATTTTTGGCAGAAGCCCAAGATCTACCAGTTGGACCCAAGGCCATCAGAGGCTGAAGGCCTAGACATAAACTTAATATACAGGGGACCTTGCAGCTCATGGTCAGTATGGAGATTCGTTTTCAGTAGAACAGGGTTCAGGTCCTTTTACCCACAAGTCCCCATGTAGTTCCACTTTATTATCATTTCAATGTAACCCTCACCCCCAGGCATTCTTCAGTTCAGAACCATCACTTGGGTTACTCTTTCCAGTGTTGCTATGGTTGAACAATTGTGAGTCAGAACCCCTCACTTACCTGCTGCAAAACACCCCAAGCTCTACCAGGAGATCCCAGTCTACATTCTCACCATGCCCACCTTATTGCTTCTTGGTTACCAGGAAGTTCCTGGGCAGTTCTTCCAGAGTTGCTATGTAGGCAAACAGTGGCCTAGCTTGCAAGAACTCAGCTCCAGCTGCTGCACATTATTCTAAAATAGCCACAAGGCAGGAACCGTGCCAGGAATATCACATCCCAACCCCTCCCCTTCATATCCAGCATCAACAGTGCTGCCAAGTACCAGAGGACAGGAGAGAAGCATGTGGAGTAAGGGGAGCTTGTCCACTCAGCATTTGGCACGAGTGAAGCAGCCATTTAATCTAGGAAAGCACTGTGCAAAAGTACTTCTGCCCTTCATGCCATAAATATTTATACTAGCGTGTGAGCTGATGTGTGAGGACGAGCCAATGCAAGAGGATAGCGGAGCAGGAAACAGAGGAGGAGCTAATGCTGCTAACACTACATCAGAAGTTCAGCTAGATTTCTTTTTCCAGTTTCCAATGGTAACACTGTCATGCACCAAGTTTGCCTCCCATTACTCAGTCAAGGCCTGGAGCCCCCATGTACCCAAGCTCCCTCCACCTCCTCCCCTTTATCCTCTGCCTCAGAATCCAGAAGCAGGCATCTTCTGCATCCTCATTCAGAAGAGCAACTGCCATCCTCATTCCCAACAAACACAAAGGAACTGGAGAGGCAAGAATCTCAGGGAGTGCTAGCACAATATATTTGCCAAGAACTGTCATTATTGGAGTCCACATTCAATAAAGGAAATAGAAAAGTTCCTACTTGTATCATTGGCATTACTAGGTTCAGAAGCACCAAAGAGGACATCAATGAGACGAGATGCTGGACCAGTCCGATACTGACCAAGGGTCTTTAAAGCCCTGTCAAAGAAGAGAATACAGGAGGAGGAAATCTTAAATACAGCTTCTTCACAACTCAGAAAATGATGTCAATTAATAGTAAAATCTCACATCACAGCTAAAACTTATTGTGCTATGCCAGGATGGGCACACAACCCACAATTTTCAGAACCAAACTGGAACTTCTGAAGAATGCAATTATATTTAGGTACTACTGGATGTAATTGGGGTTCCTGCACTATTTTCCCTGCACTCAACTTTTTTTTCCTTTTTGCTCGAGCCTGGATGTAGATAGATGCTTGCTAAATTATGTTATATTATACAATTTTCATGTAACATGTGGACACATATTTGATACCTCAAAAGCTACCTAGAGACAATTTACTTTCATATTATTTTAAAAGGAAAATGACCCAAGTTATCATATGCAAATCCCACAAGAAAAAATTGCTGTAGCCCCAAAACATTAAACACTTCCCGTTAATAATAAAGGGAATAATACTGAAAGTCAATGCCAGCACCAGAATCTGGGGGAGCCAAGCAGTCAGCCAATGCTGCCAAATCCAACGAAACAGCCACTGCACTGATCTGCTGCACTTGGCCCGGCTGCTCTCCTGGCTGTCCATCATCTACTGCAAGACTCCAGAGCTTGCTGTTGCTTCATTTCTGCAGACTGTGGGACAAGGGGTGTGTGCGGGCTGTTCATGAAAGCCCCCTTGGCCTGACAAGCGGGGTCCTTTTCCATTGGTCGTTGTCCTGCAGGGAAATGGCAGGTAAAAAAGACTACCACTGGGGGACCAAGCAGTTTCCCCACTCCATTTGAATAACTCCAAATGATTTGAACTTTTTTTCCTAATTTTGTGCAAGGAAAGCATGCTTACTCTGTTCCATAGATAGGTCAATATAGATATAAGTATATAAAAACTCAGGCTTATCCTATGTGAGCAGCTTTACCCTTTGAGCCTCTTATAAGTAACGTCATTGGCAAGTTTCAGCAGACGATAGGAGCTCTCCTGGTCCAAGCTGGCAAAGGCACCCTGAGGCTCATCAATTGCAAGAGTGATTGACCTGGCAGTTACACGGGTGACAATTCCTGTGCAGAGCTGATCACTCTGCCCAGCATTCTCATAAAGTCCCACAATGTCACCTACAAAAGACAAAGTCAACACAGAAAAAAAAATGTTCAGAGTACAAAATGGCAAACAGTGTTAGAATACTGCATAGGAAACAGGCTGGACTACTGGTCTATCTAACCTAGCACTGTGCGTTTGGACTGCCTCTGTCACTCTGGCTTTCAGATACAAGTTTCCCGATCACTGGCTACCTGATCCTTTAATTGGTGTTGATTGAGATTGAAACTGAGATGTTCCGCAAACAAACACAAGCTCTGCCACCGAGTGATGGTCCCATTGATTTAGCAAAGCCTCCTGCTAATAAGCATTCAAGTCCTGAACAAACACAAGAGCCTTGCACAATTCATCCAGTTCATCTCTACACCACTGCCTGATTCCCTCACTTATCCACAGTATCTTACCAAGATCCAGGCTAATCAGTTGCAAAATATCCCCTTAAAGCCAGAGTAGGAAAACCATATGGCTTGGCATTTGATACAGAAATCAGCACCCTGTGTTTTCATTTCAACAATTTCATTCTACAGTAGCCAGTTGCTACCTGTATGGACTGATTGGAGATGACACAACATGAATTCTGATGTAAATATGCTAATATCCCCACCTCCACCCCACTTTCCTAAGGCAGCATTCTGTCAATTTTCAACATGTCCATATTCAAAGGAGCATAAGAAGCAACCACTCAAATAAATCCTTGAAAGGGAAGCTGTTACTTTACATTACTCAACTAACGTAATGTACTTGGATGTGCTTAATATGAAGACTCACTTTATAGTTTGGCAGAAACCCAACAGGGATGGCTTCCCAGGACAGTCTGGGGAAAGCTTCCAGATTCCAGAGAGGGGACCACTCTGGAATGCTTCATGTATTCAGACAGTCACACACATAGTTACATTTCTAAAACATATCTAGTTCTAATGTAAAAACCAATTTGTTTCAAAACAAAACTCCACACTATTAATTGCATCCACCAGGATTATATTCTGCTTTGGACAGTAATTCAAGTGCCAATGAAACTGATTAACTCCAATGATTTAACTATAGGCTGTTAGCTGTCTCAACTCATGATAGAAGTTGCCAATTAAAATTGTCCCAATTCAGTCAATCTACTCTGCCTAAATCCAACAAGAAAAGTCACCTTCTGTTAGGGTACACACCGCTTGTTTACAAGGGCAGCAAAGCCATGTTTTCATTTTATTTTCCTCCTGCATGCCTGCCTCATTTTTCTGAAACGGTCAACCATTAAAGGAAAAATACAGCTCTGCATAATTGTAAATGTTCTGTCACCAGCAATTGTGCACTCAGCAGACTAGTTCTTTAGCTCATGCTGGTTTTTTTGCTGCAGATCAGAAATGCGGGTCTTTCAGAAACAGTGCACTGGGACAACACAAGGGTTTTCTCCAATGTTTGTGCTTAATTCAGCTTTCTCCAACTATAACTCTAGCATTCCTGGCCACTGCCCCTGCTGTTTGGGGCTGATGGAATTGTAGTCTAAATATTTGGAAAGCTTCGGGTTTGGAAAAGCTGATCTAATGCTATACAGTCTTTTTCTCAATTGCCTTTTATTTTAAAACACCCAATAATACAGTGCCATGCTGCTGGTCTGAACTGGCTTACTCCCTCTCCTTCCAAACAGATCAGGACAAAAGGCTTTCTGACTTCCATTTTTATTATGCTAAAACTGACCAGCTAAGCTGGCTTTGTGATAAAAAAGAAGAATATTGTAGAAGTCAATAACAACAGATGCAAGCAAAAGTCAGAATGCTAGTCAATTTGAATAATGTGGCCAATTAGGGTGATGAAGTTAATTTCAAACACAGTACTTTTCCCTTCCAAACAAACAAACAAAAAGTTGGCCCCACCTTCAAGGTGGATCATGCTGTTTGGGGGCTACTCACCAGGAAGGTCTGACATCTCTCAACTGCTCTGCCCTCTTAACCTGACACCATATAACTAGATTAATGATGTTAAATTCACCCCCATCTCACTTGCTCCCCAAATGTCTCTCCTGAACTTGAAGCTGCCTGGTTCTCAGTGACTGCCTGTCTCTAGGTCCAATGGCTTTGACATTTCACCTGTGAATTTGAACCCTGTATCTTCCTCCGCTTCTGGATCAGATTCTGAGTCAAGAAACTGAAAGTTATGGGAGGAGAGGCCCAGTTCCTGCATCTGCTCCCCAAATACCATTATTATGCATTAATTAATTACTGCTGCCGAACTGATTTCTGTATACAATGACCCACCCTTTTGGATGCAGAGAGGGGTTTGAGAGACTCAGAGAGGCAAAGAGCAATGCCACCAGAAGGCCAGATTCTCTCTCTAGCTTGGCCTCCTAGCAGGGTCACCAAAGGCAGAATGATCGAAGCTGAGTATCAGACTAAGATGTACCCACCCTCTTTAGAGTTAACAGTCACATCAGCAGAAGAGAATGGCTCTGTCTAATGGTGATGGGACAGAGAAACTCCTGAAGGGCAGCTACTGACAGCAGCAGTTGTTTAAGGCAACACTGATGGAGAATCTTTCACAGACCACAGCAGTGATGCTCAGGCTAACTCTGGTTAGCAGAATACAGAAGAGGAAGTGGCTAGGCTTGCTCAACGGAAGAGCCACATACGGCAAATGTCAGATATCTGAGAGCTGCAAGCAAGTAACTGCAGGCAGTGGCAGTGAGCCAAATAAACTCGAAGAACCGCAAACAGCTCCCGAGCCTTGGTTTGGTCACCCATGGTATAAAAGAAGGCAACGGTAAATCATTTCTGAATCGTCTTACCTTGAAAACCCTGTGATGAGACAAGTAAAAATGAAGCAAAAAACAAAACAAAAATTGTGCTAGAAGATGAGATTCCCAGGTCAGAAAGCACCCAACAAGCTACTGGGGAACAGCAGAGGATAAGTATGAATAGGGCTGTCACTAATAATACAACTAGAACAAAGCAGAAAGGAAGTCTAATGGCTAATATGCACACAGGAGAAAGGAAAGTCTGCTGTAGCACAATACACATAACTGGAACTTGAGAAGCATGAATCAAGCACACTGGGGACCATCAAGCAGAAAGCAAAACAGTTAAACATCACAGCACCTGGTATGAGCGAATTAAAGTGGACTGGAATGCGACATTTTCAATCAGACAAATACAAAGTATTTTACTCTGGAAATGACAAGCTGAGAAGAAATGGAACGGCTCGAATAAAAAGGCCAAGTATAGCATAGGCAGTAAGGGACCGATTGAATAATATCAGTCTCAGAAAACCGTTAATATAACCATAGTTCAAGTCTATGCTCCAACAGCAGATGAAAGAAGAAAGCAAAAACTTTTATGCAGGAGGCAATGTGGATAATCATTGTGGAACACAAAAGTAGGAAACAAAGCAGAATTCCATGTTGTTGGAGAATTTGGTCTTCAGGAAAGAAGCAGGAGAATGACTCAGAACTGAGTGAAGCCAGCTATCAGTTTATGGCAAATACATGCTTCAGGCAAGCAACCAGACAACTGTGCACATGGACATCACCAATAAAGAAATCAGACTATGCAATTGGAAGTAAGAGATGGAGGGGATATATTCTTGCTACCAAAATCAGGAGCAGAGTGTGGTAGTGACCATGAACTCTTAATATCCAAAATCAGAATAAAGCTAAAAAAATACTAAGAGAAACACAGGTCCAAAATACTACATCAATAACATTCCTAAGGAATGTAAAATCCACATAAGTAACAGATCGGCATTACTGAGCTCAACTGACTGTGAGCCGGAAGAACCATGAACTAAAACCAGAGGCATTATTAAGGAAGAACCAAGATCCTATTCCAGCAGCAAAAAGAAAGAACAAGTCTAGAGGGATGACAGAAATTACTCACAATTTCCAAAGACAGTTGAGAAGCAAAAGGTGACAGATGTAGAAATAGAAGGCTGAATGCAAGTTCATAGGTGTTGGGAAAATCCAAATAAATCTTTGTAAAGTTATTTATATCTACCTTTATGATATAAAATCAAACTGCAAGTCCCTGCTCCTCTTGCCCAGAAAGAACTAGAACTTTTGGGCAAGCACCACATGCCTGAGAAAAGGCAGGCCCGACAGCCCCATTATTCATGCATTTTCTCCCAGAATCAGCCATTGGGGAAGCTGTGCTTCCTTTCCAATGTAAAATTACCCAGCCACCTTTGTCTTAAGGAATTCTGTATCTCCGATTGCAAAAACCACAACGTTTTAAACTTGTTAGATTTCTGTAACCCCTGATAGTTTTATCTGTTACCCAAGCCTTTGATGGGTCATGAAGTTTTTTCCTGATGCTTGTAATGATCGCCTCAGTGCTTCTTCTCAATTATTCCCCAGTGTCCTCACCTTCAAACTGCCTTCAAACTGTGTAGTGACTCTTAACTTATAAAAACTCTGTCTGTGCTCTGCAAGCTTGTAGTTGGTAGGCGTACCTCTACCTGACAGTACTGTTGTAAAACTGGTCTCTGCAGAGGCCCTGCTTTGTTGAGTGTCTTGTCTTCCTTCTAGCCCTGAAGAGCTTAGCTGCCCGTCTTCCCCTTTCCCTGCCCCTGGAATTATTTTCCTCCTGAAAAGCAGCAGAAAGAAGCAGGTCTCCAACATGCCTTCAGGATATGGTCCAACACAGGTACAAATTGGAAGGATGTATGTAATGCTATCTGATCTGGTCCTCTTGTTTCTCTCCCCACCCCCATCTCTCAGGAACAAGTTGGGAGAAGAGGAAAAATGTGTCCCAACATGCTGCCTTAACAGCATAGCACAAAGGTCATGCATGGGTCATTTGCCTGTTTCTTCCCCACTTGGAAGTACAGCAAAAGAAACTCAAGTGTGTAGTCTTCAAAACACAGAGTGTTGTTAAACAGCACAGCATCCTGGAAGCTGACTGCAGAGTTCTTCTGCTTCCAGCCTTAGATCTGGTTGCTCCAAGCCTAGGAAACAGTAAGCTGTGCCTCCACTCTCCACAATCCAGCTTGGTTTAGCACAAAAGATCAGAGACCACATGCAAAGAAAAACCATCATTAATGCAGTGCAAGGGAAAGACAGAATGGCATTAATTGTATGGCAACTGGGCATTCCACTTTATCTTCTTGAGAGCATTGAGAGGAGGGTGCCTAGATGAGGAAAGCAACATGGAGGGAATAGAGCTAACAAAGCACATGGAAAAGAGAAATGGGAGGACTAAGATATGTGGACGGGGATGGGGTGAAGAATTTTTTTTTTTTTTTGCAAGGACAAAAAACTCTAACCCTGTGTGATCCTGTACGAATCTATTGAGAAGGATAACCTGCTGAAATCAGTGGGGCTTACTCTCTGGTAATGGATAATGAGCTGCTACATTACTTACTCCTGAACTGTTTTGCTAGAATGTGAAAATAATCATGGGGAGAGCAATCTTGTGGTCACAAGAGAACATCCAAGGGGCCATGGGATTCTTTAGAGTCCCTCCTTCAAGGCCAGAAAGTCTGTTATGAGCTTGGAAATGTGGGCTCTCGTATCTGATCCCTCTCCCTATTCCCTTTGCAGTTGCCCTGGGAAGAACAGTGCAGGCTGCTTCCTGAGGTTGTAAAGGAGGAATTGGGGAGCTCAGAAAAGAGGCAAGTTAGGACAGGGAGAGGTGGGAGAGCAGAAGCCAGCATATGAGGACTCGAGCCCCATAGCCATTCGAGCCCCAGTTCTGCACCTGCCAGGATCTCCTCTCTAGATGGGTTCAGAGACCTCCATTGCTCCTGCCAACATCAGGATTGTGCCCCTGATGACATGGGCAGCTCCCAGTTAAAGGAGGCAGTTGGGTGACGAGGTCAGGCCCATCACAAATTTAATTTCTCAAATGGGACCTATGAGGAACTCCTATTAGCAACAAACTGTAAAAGGTCTTACAAATACTCTACATATGGTAATACACTATTGCAACTGTGTAAATTGCCTTTTTTATGTTTCTGCCAAAAGACAGATTTAATTTTAAAGCACCTTTAAATTTAACAGGGTTTCACTTTAAAAAAAAAAAACTTTAAAGAAAAAGGCCTCACTTTGGAGCCAGAATGCTTGGCACTCTACAGTTCTGCAACTGTTACTGCAAAGCCAGCCTTCTAGACCAGTAGTTGTTCTGGTGGGGGCACATGGAAGTTCTAAACATCTGGACAGCACCAGATTGAGGAAACCTGTGCTACAACATCTTTCAGGACCTCTTTTTTCCTAAGGTGGCGTACCATAATAAAACATAAGACAATTTCCAGTATAAATTACTAAAAGCACAACATCAGTAACAAACTCCCAATTTTTAAAAAGTCAGTCATAAGAAAATACAGTCCAAATTACAACCTAACCGCCTGTAACTTAGATAAAGCCAACAAAAAGCAGTCTATACCACTAAAACCTTTCATTTAAAAGCCAGAGGGGAAAATGAATTTTCTAAACCCTCTTCAAAGCCAAAACCAATGTGGGTTTTCTAAGCAAGGAATTTCATATGGCAGACAACCTATGGAGGCCCTGTCTCTAGTGCCTGACATTGATTTCTTATAAAAGCTCTTAAAATCCCAACTACTTCATAAGGAAGATGTATCCATTTAAAATGATAGTACATAATAGGATAAGTGTAGAGCTACCATGGAGACATGTGGATTATGCAAGCAGCTTCAGGCCTGCCTAAAGCTTTAGCTATCCTTTAACTTTAAAGGATTATAGCTACTACCTCCATTTCATAATTTTGAACCAGAATTGGGTGAACGGATTTTAGGCAGCCTGCAGGATAGAGCAAAATCCATCTTCATTTTAGTTAACAAATTTCTAGCAGCTGACATATAATGGGAAATTTGCTTTGCCTCACTCCTCCTACAAATGCCACAAAGCCTAACAGTCCTGTGAAATCCTTTCCTGCCAAAATGCTATGACCCCTATTAGCAAGAACAGAAAGGTAATGGCAGAAGTGACTGAATTCCATAGCTGTTTCCACCACTCCAGGCTAAAATTATCAGCTAAATTGTACCTGATATTTCTAGACTTCCCCATTATAAGTTAAAGCAAAGAAAGACCATAGAACATGGGTCCTCAGACTAAGGCCTGTGGGCTGGATCCGGCCCGCCATGCCCATTTAACTGGCCCACTCCACAGCTTTAGCACTCACTGGGCGGGCGCATGGGCATGCAGCTTGCTTGCGAGAAGGTAGTTTTGGACTAGCTCAGAGAAAACAATCTCCTCGTGAGCAAGCCATTGCCTCACCATGTGTGCGCTTGGCAGCTTGCTCGCGAGGAGGTCACTTTGGACTCGATCTCCTCGCAAGCAAGCCAATGCCTCCCCATGCCTTGCCTCACATGTGGACACATGCAACCCGCCCCCTCACCGCCCCCCCCAAGCCAGCACCACCTTGGCAGCCTGCGCCCACTGCTGGCACCTGTCAACTGGCCCCCTTTAGAAAAAGTTTGAGATCCCTGCCATAGAATAATCCAGTTTGGTTTCCCCACTGCTCAGCGCTACCACAGTCACATTTAATTCTAGGACTATGGAATCATTTTTAGTGCAGGAAGAAGTATGCTACCTAACTTTGTATCTAAAAGTAGGCTAAGCATTCCAAACCTCTTTCTTTGGAATTACCCACTGCTTACTCACCAGGCCCAAAACTATTACAGGGCAGCTCTGCCTCTGGGCCATGTCTTTTAGGTTGTAAAGTTACAAGTAAACGGCCATACAATCCAGTTCTTTGACTGGCAATGTCGAGTTTCAGCAAGCAAACTCCTCTGCGCTGTAGCTCTTTCAGGGAGATGTTTTCTTTCCATGCTCTACAAAAGTGAAAAAGAGGAAAAAATAACAGCCAGTAAGTGTCTGGTATCAACAAAATCCACACCACTTTTCACCCCATCCCTTGACCTCCAATGGAGTAACAAGAAAGAATGGTAGGGTGTTTCTGCCACTGGACAGAGTGAGACGGACACCACAGGCAGCAGACAGTAAGGAATGTGACGTAGTGGTAAGAGCTGTCCTGTGCCTATTAAACTAGTCTGCTGTGCCACTGCAGATGTTGAAATAAGGTTAACTACTAGTTCAAAGAACTTCTGCACATGAAAAGAGTTGGTGGAAGGAACCATCTTGTTCTTTGCCTCAGGTAGCAAAATAGCTTAAGCTGGCTGTAGCTGGTGGACAACTAAGAAACACTACACAAGTCAGGTTTCTTGGGGCACAGCAATTAAGGAAGAACCGCTCGAACTGTAATAGAAGTAGGAACCTAGCAACAACCCCTTCACACTTCACTCAGTGTGAGGCTTGTCTACACAATGGTCTTACCATGTATTCTGAGATGGGCCAGGCTACAGATCACCTTGCCCAACAGTGTCCATGAATGCTCGGCTTCAAGAGGCTCACAGGCCTAAATTAAGACACTTGATAGGACAGTTTTGTAACTATCTAAATATTCCAGCAAAGGTAGACAACTTGTGACCTGACAATGGGCATCTAAACACAAATGGGGATGTGATTTAAAGGGTGCGATTGTTTTCATGTCTTGCTTGTAGTCTCCCTATAGAAACTGAGAACAGATTAGAGTGACTAGGTAGAGGACTTCTTGTGCTAGACCAGAGTTTTTCTGACGATCTTACAGCAAAATCTCCCTCTATCCTTTTTTCCTCCTGCTTTCAACTTAGCCTCAGTATTAGGCAAGAGACAGTCTAGCATCTACTTAAAAAGGCTAGATAAAGAAAGGTGTACAGTTGAAGAAAAACAAAGTTGTACAGAGCCACAGATAGGGTTAAGAGTACACACAGGAGCAGCAAAATAATGTTTCCTGTATAACAAAAATAAAAGATACAGCTATGAGGCATGTCCAGATACAATTTGCTTGATAGCCCTGCACCATCTTACCCACCTCAACACATATATGCCTGACAGTCCAGTGGTAGCTAGTCCACATTTCTCAGTCCCCACAAATAAGACACTATTCAGTTAGCACTTACTGAGGAGCAGCAAACTCTTAAATATTTCTCAGGGGCCATTTTGCTTTATGTTAAATGCTTCTTTGAAAGTTCACTTCAGGGGAAACCCTGAGCAATATCTCATTCTGTGGTGCATGCAATGCCTTATTAAGGCTGCCTCCTTCTTTGCTCTAGGCCCTGGAGTGTAGGGAATGAGAGTAGCTTTGAATTAATTATTTGCTTCTGAGTTATGTTTAAAAAACACATCCATAACTCCCTTGGGTGTGTGCAACCCAGCACGGAATTCTTTGGATTCAGGTCTTAGCCTGGGAGTCTCATTATTTCATTGTTTTCCTGTACACATACAAACATGCTTTTCAGGTAATTTAACAAACAACTTTCAACATATATTCTTAAATTTACTCCCTTAAATAACTGTTCATAAAGTTCAATAACTATTAAAACATATAACAAATTTGAGGAGGAGAACCAGTTTACTTATCCAAAACAATACTTGGAATCCAAAGTGGAGATCTCAGGATTTTAATTTAAATTTAATTAAAACATTTCTACCCCGCCCTTTGCACAAGCCTCCGGACAGCTTACAAAAATTAAAAATATAAAATACAATTAAAACATTCAATAATAACTTCCAATAAAACAACTCAAAACATTCAATAGTAACAACTCAAAAATAACAATAATAACAATTTGAAACTAAAGAGAGAAAGAAAGAAGAAAAAGATGTGACTGAATGAAATATTATTAATTTATTAAAATTATTAATTCAATTATTTAAATGATGGGTAAATAAAAACTCTAAAAAAATTTGGAGCTACAATATAAGCAAACATTATGATATCATATGCTTACTGTAAGAAGCAGGCATTGTTTACCAGATGTCTGGGCTCTTTTAGGATTGCCAGGTTCAGTACAAGCTAGGGACAATATTCCATCAATAAAGGCATTTCTAGAAAAGTGCTCTGACACCACCCAGTCCACAGTTCAATTAATCAAAAGGTGGCTTCTGTGCTTTGGTTTCTTAATGAGCCAGACCATGAATCCCACTTCCAACATCTTCTGCCATCCCTCTCCCCTGCCACCCAGAAAAAAAGAGCTTGAATAATATCTTCAACAGTCAAAAATTAAATAAACAAACCCAAGCTGCCTTACTCAAATGTCCCTACTATACTATAACACTGCATGAGTTTTAACTAGCACTTAGAATTCCAATCTTATCTGAAAAGTGGGGCATACATGTAACAAAAGCTAAAGCTGAAACCAGTTGCAATGTTGCATTCTAGCAACATTTAGACTAGGTTAAAGTGGACTAGGGCTCTTATACTCAAGCCAACTCCCTCTTGCACTCAAGGCTAACTGAAGATCCATGCAGGCTGTGAGGTCTACAAGAATAAGCCTATGTCACAGGTTAAAAATAAAGATTTGGATATAAGATTTATTGTGTTCAATATGACTTAGTTCCAGGAAAGAGTGTACAGGATTGCAGTCTTAATCCATAATGCTCTCCATCCTCACAATTATGTGTTAGATCAAGAAATTACTATCCACAATACCATAATAGATACAGAACTATTGAGACCAGGAATTCAAAAAGTGAAATATCTGAATGACCATTTAAGAGTAGACAAAACACTGCCAGTTTTTCTAATGTATGGCATGCTCTAATTAACACTATGAGGGCTAGATATAATGTGGATATTGACAAATATGAAAATACTTTGTTATAATCTGATACTGAAAAATTCTACAACCCTCAGCATTCCCATGCCAGCATGGCTGGCCAGAATATGCTGGGACCTGTAGGACTTATTTTTGGTCTAAACGTGCACAGGATTGTACTTTTAGATGTCGCGGTTTTCCTCAAGTGTTTCGCTTTTTCACTTGTCTAATATAAAAGTAGGTAGGAATATTTTCTGGGAACATTAAAGTTAATACTTTTTTTCCTCATGACTGTCTATATTATTTCCTTATAATATATTTTGAAGTGATTTTTTAAAAATTGAAATGTATGTGTGTGTTATCACAAGCCTAAATAAGTTCTAGAATTTTTGAAAACAGAAGACAGAATCCCATTTCTTTAAGAAGAACATAGCAGCAACTTTTCTGACGGGTGTGGAAACTAAATTTGGTAAATTCAGAGTTACTGCTAACATCTGGGGATGGGAAATAGAATGAGGATCCAATCATTGCCTCAAATGTTACTAATAGTAACATTTCAAGGACCATGCCACAAAGATTTGCTAGCAAGTTTGATTTAAAAAATATTATTACATTCATTTCTACACTGCCTAACAGTCAAAATTCTCTGGACAGTTTCCATGAGTTCATTAAAACAAGATTATTATGTAATAAAATACCATTGCATTTTCCTGTATAAATTTTTAACATGAACAATTTAATGGCTATAACAATTTTCAATACAAATGAGACCAATTAAAAACTGCTAACATGTCTTCCTTAGATGCCATTAAATGCCTCAGTGAAGAACATGGTCTTAACCTTGCACTGAAAAAAAGATGGAAGAGCACTTTTTTAACTCCCCCCTTCTTGCTGCATTCTGAACCTGGCTCAGAGGTTGCACTCAGGGGAAAGTCCCAGAAGTTGAGCATAGTGTCTGAATAGATTGAGGCTGAAAGCAGTGCTCTATCAGCAAATGTGGTCCCAAACCATATAAGGCTCTACACGTTAAAAGCTGCACTTTGAGTTAGCTTCAGAAGCATATAGGCAGCCAATGTAAGCTGGCCAGATTTGGTCTTATATTTTCACATGTTCTGGTCCCAGTTACTAATATGACTGCTGCATTTTGCATAAGCTGCAGCTTCCAAACAGTCTTGAATGGCAGCTCCAAACAGAGTGCATTGGTGTAATCTAACCTGGGGGAATGATCAGAGCACAGATAATGAATTTAAGCTATTCCCTCTCCATATAGGCATACCTGGGTCACTAGCCAAAGTCAGTAGAAGGCACTATGTGCCACTGAGACCACCTGAGCCTCAACTGGTCAGGATGGCTCCAGGAGGACGCTCAAGTGACAGACTTGCTCCTTGAAGTGGACCACAACCCTATCCAAAACAGGCTAAGCACCCTCTATTAGCCATTCTCATAGCAGGTGCTACAGTTCAGTCAGAATGAGTGAGATCATGCTCCTATTTTACACTCTTGGAGCACCTAAGCTCCGCATTGAGTTCTCAACTTACAAGCTTTAAGGATTTTGCTAAACAAACAAGAAGGCCGTTTTTCTATTTCATGGATAAACACGTTTTGCTCTGTCTCTTCTAGCCCTTGCTTAGTCCTGGTCACTAGTTACAATGCAAAGTCATGCTTTCAAGTAAGCAGGAGTGGGGATTTTGTTGAACTCCGATTACCATCATCCTTAGCTAGAGTGGCCAACGATCGGACAGGCGTTGTAACACAACAGTATGTGGAGGGTCAACATCCAAAATAAGCAGCAGACTGAATGGACATACGTAAGTCAGTCCACTCTGTTTCCTAGGGCCCTGGGAATCCTACAGAGGCAGCCTCCCACTAGTCGGCGACAATACCTGGCTTCCGAAATCTCGGCTTCTCTTTCCTCCTTCAGCAACTCCACCTGCTGAGACACAAAGTCCTCAATAAGCGGCGTCATCGCAGCAGCCTCAGAAGGCGACGCGGAAGCAACAAACTCTTAGAAGAAGCAACGGCGGACTTCAAAAGCCAGGCATCTGTTTCCCATCGGCCCTAGTCCGTCGCTGCTCCTGTCCCCCTGTACTGTATTTCCGGTTCCGTCGGGCAGCTAATAAAAGAAAAGAATGGCTGTGTGGGCTTCGGCAGTGTCTGTGGTTACCCTTGGGCGTCTTTTGAGTCGAGCAGGGGTGCGATCAGGTGTGGTAACGGTTGTTTGCTTAATGATCTATTCGGAGATTGTACTGAAGGTGGGGAAGGGGTGTTTGCTCTTAGTGTTGCTTTTTTCCTTTTCCTCATCTTCATTTGCTGTTAACACGCTTCTGCTTTACTATCAAATTTACACTCCCTGTATTGTGTCCAGGCTTACTTCTTGCTCTTGTTCAGTCTCTTCTATTGGTAACTTTTAAGTCGGGTTGGGTAACATGTGGTCCTTCATACATCGTTGAGGTCTTACTCCTCTCAGCCATGGTCAGAATAACCAGTGGCGAAGGGTGATGGAGTAGTAGTTTGCTAACAGCTGGATTGCTGCACATTCTCCGGCCCTGTTTTAAATCTCAAGTCACATCAATCTGTATTTAATTCTCATTTTCTTTGGAAACCTTAATCTAGTGGGAAGGAACCACCCTTACCTTTGTCATTACTATATCCCATGTATACTAACTGTGTAATACTGCTTTTTCTTTACATGTGTGCATCTCTACACCAAGCTGTATGTATACTTTGTGTCTTTATTTTCACCTGTATTAGTTGTCCTTTGTTCTTTCATGTTATACTGCTGGTATGAAGGTTTGAGGTAATGTGGAATAGGATTTTGTGTAAAAAAAAAAAAGTGAACTAAGTTTAGTTCTGGTACAGAAAACATGTTCCCATACCCTGCATGTGTTCAGAGGCACTCTTTTTTTTCATTCTATATCTTTTGCACCTGGTTCTGGTTGGTGACTTCAGGGTTTAACTTAAAAACAGAATAGGTTCAATTGCTCCAGTGTTTGTATTAACCTATCCTTTTATGCTGTGTGGACTGGTACATTGTTACTTCATTGTTGCTTGTAATAACCATGTGATTCCTGCTCTGTAAGGTGGATATATGTGGAAATCTGGCTTTAAGTAATAAGGTGGGTTCATTGATTCTTATCAGTTTCTGAATAGAGATAGTTCTAAAGTTTGTTTTTTAAAATTTCACTGGAAGTGTATTTAAAAGGTTCTGTTCTGTTGAAGTGTTTCATAACATTTTTTTTTTCGTTTTATGGCTAAAAGAGGAACTATGGTTGAAATGCATCCTAGCCTCTTAAAACCAAACAGAACCATATTTTATAAATAAATACTATGTTGAACACAAATTAGAGAAAAATGAAAATATTAATAGTAACATAGTAAATAGTACAACAAACCAAGTCTACTTCAACTATCTTGTTGCTGTTATTTTTTCATAGGGAAATAATAGTGCTTAATGGAAATGGAAGAGTGTAGGATAGGGGTTTTCAGCTCTTTTTGGACCTGTGACCACATTGGGGAATTTGGAAAGCTACTGTAGGTAGCTGCTGTGGAGAGTGTGACTGATCACATCATAACTGCTTTGTGTCCTTGGCTAATTAGAAGTGAACAAAAAATGTAGTGGGATGGGGAAGAGAAACAGTGAGGCTTGTGACTGGGGGAAATATCAAAAAGAGGAGGAGAGAAAAAGCAAAGCCAGAGACTGGGAATGGGGAGAAACAGTAAGGTTGTGGAAGAAGGGGGAAAACAGCAAGGCAAAGAGGAGAGTTCAAATTTTTCTCTTCAATAAAAGCCTTGGAAAATGTTAAAGGGGCAGGAAGGAGAGCACTTTGTGGGTACCATTAGAACTCCTTGTGGGTGCTATAGGGCATTGCGGGCAGCCTGGTATACATTATAGTCACTGGAAGCTGAATATTACTGATAGTCATCTTCCTTTTTTAGACAAGCTGTTCTAGAATCCATAGTACAGAACCCTTCTTCATCACCCAGTACAAATACCTCCTATCATGACTGTTCCCATCACCAGACTGCTATATTTCTTGGGAGCAAAGAGCTGGCCTGATATAACTAAAATATTTATTAGCCATGATTTTAGAGTAGGAAAAGTTTCCTCTAAAGACACTAGCTAAATAAACTATTCAAGGTAACTTCCTTAATCTGTATGTTCATATTCAACCCCTATAAATGGAGTCCCAGGAGTGCCCCTTTAGTTAAGGTGAGTCAACAAAAAGGTTCTGCTATTATAAGCATTGAATTTCTGACACTGTAGGCTAATAATGTTAAAACCAGCATCCATAATTTCTTTCATGCTAATAGTCTTGCAGCATTTTGATCCTACCTGTGACAAATTGCTAGATAAACAGCAAATTTTAAAAGTGCTGAAAATTGACACATTTGTGCCTTACTCAGGGTGCAGTTCAGCATGTTATTTTTTAATATTTGGGGAGAAACTACCAGTATACTTCAGGTTTGCTGAGGAGATGTGCAACAGTTCAACAATTATAAATTATTTTTTTTAAAGTCTTGCCCCATTAGTCTGTAGCAACAACAGCTGTCAAAGGTACATTAGGCAAGCTCAGCTTCACTCTTGGAATGCTACTGTTCCTGTCAGCATTGTTACAGAGAACTGTCAACTGATATGAGTGTGAGGTCATTTTGAAGGTGGAAAGAATTGTTTTCACTGGAGTAAGGGAATAAACACATCCATATTTATTATTAAACTTGTTTAAAGGCTGTCCATTAGCATCTTTTTGGCCATTACAATAAAATTACCAACTTTTTTATAGATCTACTCAGTTAATGGCCTGTTTGTGTTTTACTTTTTAGTTCCTGTTTTTATTTTTATACTACTTAAATAATTCTTTTTTCTGAAACCTAGGACATTCAATCACATTTCAGAAAAAAAATCTGGCTTAAAACAGGTCTTAAGGTTATCTCATATTGGCTGTAGTTCCACAGAGCCAGGAAACAGAAAACTTCAGCAGCTTTGTTAACAGACCGGCTCCATAGTCAATGTGCAACATCACAAATTGTGCTTGTTAATATGTGACAAACAGGTAAATTCACAGGAGAATTCCTCTAGCAAAGCAAGTCATGTTCAGCAGCTTCATAAAGCAGTACAAGGCCAGAACAGTGCAAGGCATGAGCCCAAGTATTTCATCCGCCCTTCCTGAATTTGGGCCTGAAAGATCCTGAAAAACTGTGAATGCTGAGACTAATTAGTAATTTGAGGCACTGCACATCATGTTAATACATCAGCCTAAGCTTCCAGTTCTTATGGAGCTTGAGCCAACATGGGATAGCCTTAAGACTGGTCTTAAGCAGCCAGGTTTTAAAAATCATTGAATAATTACTGTGTTCAAGTTGTTACTCCTTGCAGAGAAAGTCAGACAAGTGCTGTGACTGCAAAAAGGTGATTAAACTAATTAGGAATAGCTCCTTCCAAGAAGGGATTTCCACTAATCTTTTCATTAATTTGGTCAAGTTAATGTTCTTTTTTACTCTGATCTCATTATATCTGTTCCTTGTTCTTTGCGCTAGATTTAGAAAAGGGTTTCTGTTTATTTTTAATCTGATGTTTTTCAGATCACTTAAGCCAACATTGCTGAAGCACTAAATTATTAGAGCCAAGTTCCTGCAAAGTTTTCAACCAAGTCTTTTGTCATTTCTGGAATCACAAAGTCCACAGGGACCTTTTGAGCAGAACCCTGATGCTTGCTAATATTTTTACTGTTAAGCAAAATTAAGATCAGAAAGATAAAGATCCATCCCCCCTCTCTTTCATTATGTACTGTTTCAATGATTTTTGATTTAGCACAGCTTGGTTGCCTTTCTGAACAGCAGGGTCCTTGAGCAACTTCTTAATTCAAGTTCTTTTGTCTTTATTAGCTTCCCTGTTTTGGTCTACAGCTCGAAGTCAGAGTTCACAAAGCACCTCATCAAAACAAGGGTAAGATCATTTATTCTAGAATGATGTGTTTTCTTTCCCAGTTGAGACTTACCTCCCCCTTTTAGGAACAGAAACACTATGTTAAGTGGTCAAGAATGTGCCTTTACTGAAATCACTGGGTCACTGCTAAATTGGAATAACATGAACATGTTTCCAAACACTTTAATTTGGGGAGCTTTTTTCATTGTGGTATCCCCAGGGAAAGCTGTTTGGGAAACAATTTTTTAATTCTTCCAGGCCTTTGAGCACTAGGAAATTATATGGCTTTCTTTTTCTTAATTCCTATTTTATTCCATGTTTTCTTTTATATTGGGTTTCTAGATTTTACAAATACTCCACTTGCGTGTAATTGTTTCTTACAGTATTTTAGATTCTGGGTACAAAAAGGAAAGAGCTGCATGGAAAAGAGCAAGTATAATATGTGGGAAAACTATGGGGACTGTACAGCATGTACATGCTGTCCCCCTTGCCCAGTGAGGTACAGTGCAGACAAGGCAAAGCAGTGCAATCATGGGCTGAACGCCAGTGCTGTGTGATTTGTAAAGGCAGGGTGCACAGGTTGGATGCATTGCATCCTTAAATGCTTTTTGCAACTGCAGCCAAAGGAGATAGCGGTCTAGCAGCAGCAACTCCTATGATTATTTGATTATTTCCCAACAGCCCCAGTATGACTCAGCATGCCTTTATGTATCTTAACAAAAAAGTAATAATCTGTTTCATGAATTCCCCCTTTTCCATTTCTTGACCCATGTATAAAACAGGAGCCTTTTACAAGTGAAGAGAGTGTGAGAAACTGATTACATTTAAACAGTCATATCTGAGCTTAATAAGCCTTTGCCTATACATGCCTCTCTTCACCTGAGTGAGCAGATAAACTGCAAGCCTTCAATTAAACATGGTTTTCCATTTTGCCTGAACCAGAAGCTAAGTTAACCTGCATTGCAACAAGTTAGGGTACAGAACCAGCTTCAAACTGTAATTTAGTATCTTGAATTATTCTGAAGCTGATAAGTAGACCTTTTTGGTATGTTCGTGTACTTCAGTGAAAGGAGAAGTGGAGTTCCTTGCCCAACCTCATTGCTATCTGGGCTTCATGAGCTGCAGCATATCCAAAACTGGCTCACAGCTCTCAGTATTTTTGCTACTCTCTTGGCTGAAAAATAGAAAACTAATCTTGTATGCTAGCTGCTCCACCTAATCATGTTTCTTCCCACTTTGATGCAGTTCTAAAGAATAACTCGAAACTCACCTTAACCCTTCATCACAAGAGTTTGAACTTGCTTGCAGCTTCTCAGCGTAAAGAGACAACCCCCCCAAAGCTCACAATGCTCAGAGACTGAACAGTTGCATAAAACTGCTTTAGAGAGCCTTCATAATCATCAAGAAGCAGGACTGAGAGGGGGAAAAAGTATTGAGCAGCATTTGAAGATAACAGGGAAAGCAAGTACTCTGTGCACCCTGTGCTTCCCTTTCCCCTGCACACTATGAGTTCAGCCAGCGCGAAGCATTACAGACCCAAGTGCAGAAAAAGCAAAGGGAATGGTGGCCTCACCCCAACAAGATCTTCCAGTGGCCTAGGCAAGATGGCTGCAGGAACTGCTTCTGAAACCAGTATTGCCTCCTCGTTGCCATCCACTTCCCCCATGGCCTTATCATTACAAACTGACACTGCTGGCTGCCCTCCTAAAGCTGGGCTTAGTTTCCTGGAAACAACAGCCCCCTTGAGTGATAGCAAAGGGCTGGACCAAGAAGAGGCTCAGAGAGAGCATTGTGGAGAAAAGATTCGTTCTGTAGAGTTGGGTAACCAATGTAGACCAGTCATATCAGCCACAGTAGTTCCAGAAGTGCAGCCAATTGAGCTTGACATAAGTGTTGATGAAGAAATAGTAGACCTCACTTCTGAATCATCCATAATTGATCTTACTCACAATGATTCTGTTGTGTATGTTGAAGAGAGTAGAGAAGGGCAGAATCAAGAGTTAAGAAACCATTCATTCTCTGACAGCTGGATACTATGTAGTGATGACAGCCGTGAATGCCGAGAGACTAATCGGATCGATAAGTGGTCCAAAGAGTTAGGAAAGGAGAAATTTGGAAGTTTAGGAGCCTCAGGCACTGTGAGCTGTCCAATTTGCATGGATGGCTATGCAGATATTATATATAGTGGACGGCTTATCATGTCCACAAAATGTGGCCACATCTTTTGTAGTCAGTGCCTCCATGAATCTCTTAGAAGTGCTAACGTTTGTCCAACTTGTAGGAAGAAACTTAATCACAAGCAGTGTCATCCAATTTATATATAATGACATGGTTTCTCCGGAAAATAATCTAATTTGGGCTTTTATGAGCCCTTCAGAATGTTCAGTAGACTTAAAGGAAAGGAATATAGATTGTATCTATGACTTAGAAATGGCAATTAGCTGTTTTCTTCTTTTTTTTAATAGGTCTTTTTCTGCCTGGGTGGTACGGTCAAACTTTGTTTTGTTTTAAATTCTTTTTAAGCTCAAGTTCTTCAGGGCCTGCAGATGCTGAAATAACTCTTTCTTTAACATATTTGATGTTGCCAGTTACTTTGGAAAAACTAAAATAAGGCCTCTGTTTTTTTATTTGTCCAAATAAAGTAGACCTACTGTTTCTTCAAGACCGGGCCATCATGATGGTGCAACCACAAATGAAAAGGAACTTGAGCCCCTTCATCATTGTTGCAAAGTTCTTTATGTAAAAAGTAAAACCCATCCAATTTCTGAAAGAAAACTCTTTAGTAGCAAGTTTCTTCTTGTGTTGAGAGACCAGGTGAAAAATCCTGGGCCCTCAAATGGGCCAAGCTTTATAAAATATAGTTTATTTTGAATACATAGAAGTTTCGTTGAAAATTGTGTTTAATGGAAGTCTTCAGCTGAATCCTTGATTAGCATTTTCTCTAGCCCTAAGAAGAGATGTGAATAACTTTTCCTGTGTATTTATCTGTTTATAGGGAAGGCCTGATTCATACATGCCCCTGGCACCCCTGTTACCACTTGAAATGTAATCAAATAGGCACACTTCTACCAGCTAAGCTGTTTATAGGAACATTTCCTTAGCTTGTTGAGACTGTAATTAATAGAAAAGATTTTCCCATAAATTACTGGCTATGTGGAGAGCTATCTATGTGGTTGTGTTTCTAGCAGCCAGCATGTAAGAAATGGACCTTGTCTTATAGAGGGAAACTTAAGCCATATTAAAAACTTATTTCAACATGTGAAATATTCATAGTACAACAGGAAATAGCTTGAAATGTGTAATCTTTCTCAGATGCTTTACTAATAAATCTGATCATCTGCATCCATTTATGTTGCTGATAAGCTTATATCATCCAGTTTTCAGTTGGTATATAAATTGTGCATTGGGAATTCCATGGTTCTAAAAATCTGGGACTAACCTCAGTTTCAGGAATGGGGCAAAAAGGAGCTTTGTCAACCTACTCCAGTAAGGTTATTTTTAGGGCAGAAAAACCTACTTGCAAAGTGGTGGGTCCTATGAGCTTAGGAAACAAGAGGAGCTGGTGTGCACCCACTGGTTACTGTCCAAGATAAGGGATGGGCAACATGTAGGCCAAGCCATCTGAAGGGCCACAGCTCCCACCATCTTTCCCTATTGATCATGCTCACTAAGGCTGATGGAAGCTGTAGGGCAAGATATCTAGAGGGCCACAAGCTGCTGAGACTTGCCTTGATAATCAACTCTCACGATTGAAGTCTAAATCTTTAAGTCAGCTGGGCTGCTGAAAGTCTCATAATACTTCAGCTTGAACAAAGTGCATTTACACAGCACCACTTGGGTGGTGGTTACAAGGTCATTGTTTGGGCCTCAGTAATGCATGGCTGAAAAAAAGAGGTAAGTTGCTTGCTCATCCTTGACTCGGTAGCCATTGATAAGCTATACATCCTGCTAGCCTTGTGGGACAGTGAGGACTGCCACGAATGGAAACCTCTCCTTCTGCATAGACTGTGGAGCTCAGATATTCTGTGGAAATGCAGCTGGCCCTTCCTCACAAAATGTAAAATGCAGACTGGCACCACACTTTGGAAAGGTTAAATAGAGTATCTTTATTGCTCGTCTAGGGACTGCAGGTGGCGCAGTGGTTTAAACTGCTGTGCTGCTGGGCTGGTAGATCGAAAGGTCGCCGGTTCAAATCTGCACAACAAGGTGAGTTCCCATTGCTCCGTCCCAGCTCCTGCCAACCTTGCAGTTCAAAAGCATGCAAATGCAAGTAGATAAGGTACCACTTCAGTGGGTAGGTAACAGTGTTCCGTGCACTTCCGTGTTTAGTCATGCCGGCCACATGACCACGGAGACTGCGGACAAACGCTGGCTCCCTCGGCCAGGAAATGGAGATGAGCACCGCCCCCTAGAGTCAGGCATGACTGGATGTAACCTCAAGGGGAAACCTTTACCCTTTCCCTTTAGTGCTCATCTACCACATACGGTAAAAAACCCCATCCACATCTTTACATTTCCAGCACTTTTTATTATAATTATCCATTTCTCATTATCTTTTGGTGTAATATCCACAAAGTTTCCCATTGATGGAAAGATATTCCTTTCTCAAAATTCTGCATGCAACTTATACATATTTTAGCTTGCTCGGTTTCAGTATCATATTGGAAAGAAATATAGAAAATTTTGAAAATTAACTCTCTCAGAGTTTGTTGTACTAGAAACACTGCCAAGGTATGTGGTAGAGTTATTTAAATATATGATAACAGTAGCTCATGTTATAATTTCATCAAAATGGAAAAAAAAAATCCAGATAGAGAAGATTGGAAAAATAAGCTTGCTGAATATGCAGTAATGGCAAAACTAACTAGTTAAATAAATAGAAGGCTGGCTAAAGAATTTAATGATAAATGGAAAGAAAGCTCATTAATCCAAAAAAATGAGCTTGTAATAATCATTACTGAGTTAATTTAATACAAATGCGTTGTTACTTAAAATTAATTTAAAGGAATGGAAAACAAGTTAGTATTAAGAATTACAAATTAGAATAATTGCTCCATGAGTTTCAGTTAAGTACTAATTAATTTAACTGAGTGTAGAAGAGAGAACAATTACTGACTTTTGTGAATTTTTAAAAACTTGATATTGCATGTAATATCTTTATGAGATCCCCTGGCATCCCTTCTCTTTTTCTATATTCTACTTTTTATTAAAATAATAAAGGCTAAATAAAGTACTAAATTAAACAATGTGACACTTAGTCTCTAGAGCCACTAGCTGCTACCCCGCCTTGCAGACGTTCTTAATAAAGAACTTAAAATTATACTTTGTTTCCTGTAAGCTTCACCAATATTGCATTTTACAGTGTTGGAAAGAGTTGTACAGGGTGCCTTCTGGAAACTATTATTTAATATATAATAGGGAAATATGAACTCATGTGCAAAAAAGTTTGACTGCGTGGATACAGCATGCACTATTGTTGGCCCGTGCTGCATGAAATGCATCTGAAATCCACTAATCTATCCTTTATGTAAAAGTTCTAGCAAAACTATATCTGTTACAGTGGTTTCAACTTTTCCACAGCTTCTCTCTAAGTAGATATCTCCAAGCTGGAGAAAGCCAGAAGTGTAGTAACAAACGGCACTTGCTTAGTTTTTAAGTCTCTGCTATTATGAATACAGGCTGAAACAGCAAGGTAAAACCAGGACTAGGATACAAGAATATTTAATAAGTAACTCATGTTTATATGGATTGTTGCTCAAAGAATATGCAGTGATTATATAAATGCTTCCATGCTACTGTGTTAGAGGTTTATTATTATTAATTTCATTCCCTATGCTGCCTTGTACCCAAGCTGTCTGGGCAGTTTTCCCAAGTATAAAGCAAACAGTAAAACTACAATACAAATAATATAAAGAGAACTAGTGGACTAGGTAACTTGAGTAGCAGTCCCCGCTTGGTCATGGAGGCAACTGGGTGACTTTGGGCCAGTCACAGACTCTCAGCTCATCCTACCTCAAAGGGTAGTGGTTGTAGGGATAAGATTGAGAGCAGGAGGAGAATGATGTAACAAAAAGTGGGATAGAAATCTAATAAAACACTGTTAAGGAAGCTTAAATACAATAAAGCCCCAGCAAGAAGAAACAACTGCCTGTCTAATTCCCTCAGGCCCCTGGATGACTAAGGAGATCTTTAATTGCCTCTGAACAGAGGGCTGTCTTAACCTGGTACAGATTTGATGCCAGGCAGGGTGCGGCAGGGAGATTGTTCCAAAGGTGGGGGGTGGGCACCAGAGAAAGGCCCTCCTCCTCGTTGCCATTCCCCAAGCTTCCTGAGGGGTTGGCACTTGGAGGAAGGGCCCAGAGGTTGAGTGTAGCGTCTGGGGAGATCGGGGTTGCAAGAGGCATTTTGACAGGTATTGCACTCCCAAGCTTGTAGGGCTTTATAGGTTAAAACCAGCATCTTGAATTGGCCTGGAAGCATACAGGCAGCCAGTGCAAGTGGGCCAGAACCAGTCTTATATGTTCAGATCTATGGGCCCAGGTTATTAATCTGGCTGCCGCGTTTTGCACACACTGCAGCTTCTGAACTGTCTTCAGAGCAGTCCCCAGTAAAGTTCATTGCAGTAGTCTAATCTAGAGATTACAGACCTGAGATGGCTGAAGCCAGGCTATTCCTCTCCAGGTAGGGGGCACAGCACAATCACCAGCCAAAGCTAGTGGAAGGCATTCTGAGCCACTGATGCTACCTGAGACTCAAGTGACAAAGATGGATCAAGCACACCCCCAAGCTACAAATCTGCTCCTTCAGGGGAAGTGCAACTCCATCCAGAACAGGTTGAACATCTTCCATCCGGCCGTTGTCTTGGGTTGAGTTTTGGTTTGTTGGCCCTCATTCAGTCCATTGCCGCAGCCTCACTTGCCAACAATGAAAAGGATAAATAGAGCTGCATGTCATCAGCATACTGATGTCAGTATGTACAGTTTTACTATGTAAAATTTGTACTCATTTTTTACAATAGCAGGAGTACAATCTTAATGTTTAGACTGAAAAAGCCCCAGAGCTTCCCAGCATTCCCCAGCCACACACACAGGATTGTGCCCTGAAGATGGCAGAGGAAACAAGATTCTTCACTAGCTTTCATGAGTTCTGCTACTTCTCAGGAAAAATTAGCACCAGAAACCTCTGATCAATAAATGCTACTGGATTAACATTTGTTAAGCTTTCCAGCGTTTTTTTAAAGCATGTAATATTGGCTCAGTAATGAAACAGGAGATTTTGAGGAATGTCAGATCTTGTATTTTCTATTTGTACATGTTTGTGGAGGATTTTTTGTAAATATAGGCAATGACTTTTGTGCAGCAGAAGGAAATAAACCTATTTGTGGACTAGCTAGTCCATTTTTAAAGAGAATTGCACTGCCATGCTCTTAATTTTTTTCAAATAACAATGTCTTTAGTGTGACTTGTGTTGCAACCTTTTTTCTTTTTCAAATTTTGTTTCATTGAGATTTCTTTTTTGGCTGACTATAGAATTAATCTTTGGGAAAATTGGAAATGCTAATTAATGTTGCTGTAGCAACCCTTGCAGCCATTCCTGCTAGGGCAGTAGCTCCATTGGATACTGTCC